AAACCCCCCCCCCCCCCCCCCAAAAAAAAAAGAATCAAAAAGATTGCCCCAAAATATATTGTCCAGTCCCTCCAAATACACGTGTTTTGTTTTCCTCCTTTTCCACTTCCTCATCAAACAGACGTGAGATCAACCCAAAAAAGTCCGGCAGCAAAACCTCATCACCACCCCCCAATAAACGACAGAAAACTGTCCACCATAGTAATCCAATCTTGTCCATTCAGCGTGCCCGCCCTCCTCTTCTCCCAAAGCCCTTCAACCATCTTACTAAGAAACACCCTTGCCTTCTCCCCTGCCTCACTCGTACCATCATTCCTTACAAGCTGCACCATGCCCCCCGCATGCTTCTCACTAAGATCAATCTTGAAACTCGCATCGCCATCCGGCGGACAATACAGCTCCTCTCGCGATCCCGCCGCTGGCCCAATAATCCCCGGTGCAAGTTGTACCAGATGCCCGTGAATCAGCACGCTCTGCCCGTGGCTCTTCTTGGGCTTGAACAGCGAGCCCCGCACAGATAAAGCGATGAGACGGAGAAGCCCCGCGCCTTCTCCAAGCCGAATAATCCAGTCCCGGAAGGCTTCGTACATCATTCGGAATTCCACTTTGATTACCCAGAGATTGTAGCTGTAGAATATCGCTAGCGCTTCTGAGCGCACAAGCCGGGATACCGAGGCGAGCGGGTGTTGCATCTCGCCATTAAATGTCGAGATACAGTATACGAGCGGTTTATCGACGACGAGGTTTTCGCAGCAGCGGTAGATTTGGTGTCGGATTTCGGGGGGTAGGCTAATAAAGGTAAGAGGATCGTGCGTGGTTTCGGTGGGCAGCGGTTGCCCGATATCGGTCGGGGTTGTTTGGATGTCTTCAGCGGGTTCGACGTCTTCTGCAGTTTCTATGTTTTCGGCGGGTTCAATGTTCTCGATATTCTCAATATGGACTGTTTCCGACTTATCCTTGTGCATCGCAACATGTGCCGCCCACTCCGCCTGCAGTACGCTGGCACCATCAAACTGCGTGCGGTTGACGCTGTTGTTTCTCGAATGCGGGGGTGATAGTGCATAGTCTTCCATGTGCTCGTCGTCTGGTCTCTCTTCCGCATACAGCCGCAGCCCTTCGAGGCGCGTGGCCTCGGGTAAACCCAGCGCACTGTATCCAAGTGAATGGTCGGGCGTTGAGGGGACAGACGTTGCCCGGCTTTCCAGACCATGGTCGTCATCAACCTCGCTCCCATCGCCCAGCCCGTCCGTGCCATCCGAACCCGTGTCCGTGTCCGAGTCCATGTCAACGTCGGCGTGCTCGTCATGGCACAGTCGGTACCGCGGAATCTTTTGCGGTAGCTGCTGTGAGGGCGAGCTGGGCGAGGGCAGCTGGGTAGCGGATCGTTTGCTCGATGTGCGTACAATGGTGCCGTTGGGGCCCATCTTCCTCCCTCTCCGCTGCTCGGGTGCGCCATCATCGCCGCTGGCGCTCAATTCGGACGCGGCGTCACAGTATCCACAGGGCGGCGTTTGGACGTTGGTATCAAGAGACTGGAGCTTGGGCGAGCGCGCCTTCATGGCTTCGGCGTCGTCGGGTGGTGTTTGGCCCGTAACTGAGTACCTGCGTTGGGTGACCATGATGAGAAAAACAGAACAAGAAGAAGCAGCGATAGAGGAAGGTGAAAGCAGGCTGATAGGGGCGCGATAAGTGAATGGTACGTGGGATGCAACGGCAGGCTCCAGCAAAGTCTTTCGCTAGGCGTGAGCTGGCAAAGCGGACGATTGGCTTCAGCAGGCCGTCGACGCGTTGCTGGGCGAGACTTGCGGGGTGCGTTAGGTAGCGTTGCGGATGCGGACCGAGTGGGGAGACACCACTTTTTTTATCGATTAGGCGGATTCGGGATGAAAGGGTAAGAATTGGGGATGGATCACGGGGGGTGATGGGATGCAAGGCTACGTAGGCGAAAGCAAAAGTCTGCAATGGTGCAACAGTGCAGCAGGCGTACAATGAGCGCAGGCAGCGGACGAACAGCGATAGTGTGGACGAGGGGGGGGAACAATCAGGGAGCGAGGAGATGAAGACGCGACAGGTTTGGCAACTGGGTCAGCGATACCGTCGGCAGTGCGTGTTTCATGACACCGCAATTTGTCGTGAAGCCTGCCAGCACTGCCACTACCAAGCTCCACCGCTAATCTCTCGTGTAATCTTCTTACCCTTCTTTGCTTTTGCTATGATAAGCCATGGACCCCAGCACCACGTGCTACTTACATATTACGATCCGCGTCAGCGACTACATATTCGGGGCATTTCATCTCAACTCACAACCCCCACTTCCGGCTTCATGCTCGACTCCCATTGCGAGGCTGCCACACAATTGCTGCTGAAACGCCTCATGCTCACACCATTCGACTATGCCAATACACTTGTCGCGTCAAGAGCCTTCAATTTATCTCTTACAACGTCATCACTCACAATAAGTAACAGTCGGGGGAGCTACAAGCATTGTGTCACCACTTTGTTTCCTTGTACCCCACAGTAACGAGTGTGATCTAAGTTATGTATGAAAAGAAATCCGTGCAAAAAACCACTAGGTAGGCCCTGTTGAAGGACACTGCAACAAGCCAGCATCTCCTCGCTTGTACCTTACCCCCAAAGTTACCTGTTGAACCGGTGCTTTACTATTCACGATCAATCCTATCTCACCAACTAACTACCTTACATTCCACTCTTCTTCTCTTCCGTCATCTGGGGCTCTCTAACCATGATATCCATGGGAATGTTCTTTCCACCCCTCTGAAGGTTGACCCTTCTTGTTACTTGGAAGCCAAACTTGCGGTAGATCGCGGGGTTGGCCTCGTTACTCGACTCCAAGTAACACGGCCTGCCCTCACGATCCGCCAGCTTCGTGACATGCTCAATGAGCTTGCGAGCATGGCCCTTTCCACGGCCACTAGGCCTAGTGCCAATGTATACCAAGTACCAAGCCTCGAGTTCTCGATCGCCGAGCGTGGTATGCATCGTGTCGTGGAGTAGAGGGATGAACTCGCCAAAGAAGCGACGCCTGCCTTCGGCCGAGAGGCGGAAGTTCAGACGCCACATGCCAGAGCGGAATACGGTGGGATAGTCATCTATGTTCTGGCCTGGCGGCATCCTATAGAATGTATGTAAGCCTGATGATTCTTGCATGGTACTAATGTTAAAAACTTACCACAGCGCAACTGCTTCAAAGTCTCCGACCGTAGTCACCATTCCCTTGAGGATGTGAGCATACGTGATGTATTCGAGAATCTCGACATGCAAAGCAAACTTTCGCTCTTCAGTCCAGTGTGCAAGGTCAGGTACATCGACAAAGTACCTGACTACCTCATCCTGGTTAAAGGCCTCGGCCAGACAATGAGCAGCTTGCTTGTACTCGGCAAGGGTCACGACACGGACATCATGCGTAAGCGGAGGCAAGGCAGGAGTTGTGGGCTTTTGCTTCATAATCTTGATGCTAGCAGGGACTTCATTGGCCCTGATCGTGGCAGACTTCAAGTTGGAAGATTTTGCTTCTCCTGCAAAACTACAGCCAACTGGCGTAATGGGCGACAAGGTTTTCGCCATGATTGCGGTTTCGTTGGTAAGCTTCTACTAGTATTCAAATGGGATCTGCCGCTTCGTTTGGTAATTGGGACAGTCGTGGAATAAGCCACCGTGAAGTGTTCCCCGCAGGGCTAGTTATCAGGCTCGTCGAAAGGTTGGTTAGTCACTTGAACCACAGTGTGTCTAGAAAGAAACCTTGAGTTCAAACAACGCTACTAGATGGATACAATTAGTCTGGTTGTGGTTGATATGGGTCTTCATGGGCTGAGCAGGAGCCTTGACCGTAGATTGCCTGCCATTATGGTATACCTTTTCTCGACTTCCTAGCTCGTGTTTATGTATGGGCAGGACGATTTAAATCTCCTGTATGGACTTTGGAAAGCTGCGATCTCGAGACAGTTTCGACTCGAGATGGGTAGCGTAGAGAGGTAAAAGCTTGACGCAGATCAACCGACATCAATGGGTGAGGCTCGATGAGCTCCCTTTTGAATTCAGTGTTGCTGGTAGAAAGGGGACCCGAGCGACGGGATCTTCCTGTACCGATAGTATACGTGTTGAGTTATCGATGTATCAAGCCCGTGTACGTGGACTGGTGCCCGTTGATGTATGGCTGGCCCAAGGCGTGCAAGTTGCTTTTTACTCGTTGAGGGGGCTGTCACAAGAGCACTGACAGCACAGCTGTACGATGCTTGGCCAACGTCGAGCCGCAGCAGCAGTGTGTCGTGAGGATGTCCGGTTGCAGCCGAATGCGTGTATCGTGGGGGTATTGCAGTAGTCACTAAGGCGTGTTTGACGTGAGATGACGAGCAATGGTTGACTTGCTCCAGTGGTAGTAGACGTAATGCCTCTTTAACAAGAGCCAGAGATGGAGGGACATCAGCATACTGATATAGTTTGACGGCTACCTCCGTCTGTGCAGCACCCCAGCATCCTCGGGTGGAGGCCAAGGTCATGCTTCACATATGCCGAGCAACATCTAGTCATTACGGAACCATCTGCCTGGCTACTAGGCGTCTTTCCCGTTATCATTCGTCTTGTGACCTCAGCTGCATGTCGGCCCGATGCGGCTCAACGTGTGCACTATTCGTACATGTATTTGCTCATTCTCATTGCTTTGCTTTGTTATTTACTTGCGATCAGCGGCGGAATGAGGAGGGCAAGTGATGTGGCATTAACAGTGGCGTATGTACTGTGAGCATCTGTGGGGATGAAGAGAAAGCATGGTAGCGCTGACCTCGGCTGGACCTCCCGGAGTAGGCAACTCCAGAGCCATGATCCAGCCCGGTAGATCATCGAAACTCTCCATTACCCTATACCCAGCATTTCAACGCAAGATCAGACTCGTATCGGCATAGATTAGGCTGCCAGTCATTCTGCTAGGCAAAGCTAAGTAGCCAGAAGCGCTGCTAGTGGCTGGTTAACTACGACCAAGCTTGCGACGACACAATGATAAGAGAGGGGTAGTAGATGCTGATGTACGCACGATAAAGCCAGATGAATAATTGGCGTGGGGTCTGTTCAAACCATTGATGACAGGGATATTATCGGAAACTTGATATCTATAGGGGCCGAGCCTGCATGCATGCGCCGCCTCACTTCGGAACCCGGCGTGGTCTAACGCGGAACCCTAGATTCGACACGGACGATTGGTCTCGGAGTTTGTAGCTGTGCTCACTTGCAATACTGCCTACTTCGCAGGGCGCAGTCCTCCACTGCCTTTTACATACGCCGAATCTCCGTCTCTCCCATATACTTCTCTAGCCCAGAGTCGAGGTGATTCCACCACTCGAACAACATGCTCTCACAGATGAGCTTGAACCATGGTGTAAACTTGAGCGACTTGTCCTGGAACATGGTCTTTAGGTCCTCTTGGGACACCCATTTTGAATCCCGGACTTCGTTGGGGTTGATGTCGAGGTCAACATCGGCCTTCATAAACAGGATGTAGTCAACTAAAACGGTTGTGAGTACTCGTCCACGACACCGTTGTGCCCCTTGACATCAGAAGAACTTACTCTCATGCTCGCCCCACACGCCGTCACTAGGCGACTTGTAGTGTATCCGCGTAAGAAACTTGAAGTCATCAATGGGCACCTGCTCAGACTTGATACCAAGCTCGTGGTCGAGCTTGCGTACTGCTGCGCGACGCACACCCTGAATCGACTCTTCAAGTCCGACACCCGTCTCTCCAGGTATGCCTAGCGGGTGTGAGCAGCATGTGTTTGTCCACATGTCCGGGAACGTGATTTTTTCGGTCGCACGTTGCTGTAGGAGTAGACGGTTTTTGGAATCGAAAAGGAAGACGGAGAATGCGCGATGGAGGAGGCCTTTGTCGATATTCTCCATGAGATGACCTGTCCATATCAGCACCGCTCATAGTTACACAGTTGGTCGTTCTCGGTCGCCTTGCACCTTGGGCTATGCTGTGCGCAAACACTTACACAGTTTCTTGGTCGCGCTACCAATGGGCAAGTCGTCGTTGTCCAAGACAATGCACACCTCGTCCATCAGCCGTATCTGCTCCTCATCGTAGCCTTGCAGCGCATTGTCATTTGTGGCAGAGTTGTGCGATCCTCCGATGAGGGAAGTGTTTACTTCGGGAAATAGGCGCAGGACATTTTCTGCAGTAATCACGGGGTGCTGAGTGACCGTCTCGACAGTGCTCATGATTGCGATCTGGGGTGAGTAAAAACAATGAGGATTGAGACGTGGCGATTGATCCCCGAAAGTTGAGAGAGGGGCAGTATAGGACCACCTAAGAAAGCGCGCGCCTCAGGGTCCAAACTCACGTGCCCATCTTCGCCGCGGCAGTGACTTGTGGTTGGTCCGTTGGTCAGTCGGTATTTTGCTCGATTCGGTCAGTCGGTACTTTGCTCGATCCAGTCAGTCGGTCAACGCACAACTTGGTATAGATAAATACAAATACGGTCTGGTCTTAACATTGCTCATTGCTCATCATTTCTATATATCCTGCCAGCCGCCCATAGGCCTATCAGCAGGTATCATAAAACTAAAAAACTCTGTAACTTTTCCGTGGCCGGAACAAACGTAAAACCGCTCCAGAAAGACGACTGCTAGAAACGACTAACTCCAGATATCCTATATATACAAACGACTCGTACTTATGATACGGTCACGGTCTTGTTCTTCTTAGCAGCAGGTACCTCAGCCTGTGCATCTGCAGTCGCCTCGAGCTCCCTCTTCTCGTTGACACTGTTCAGCTCGGCCTCGACCTGGGCGAATTTGGCCTTCTCCTCCTCTGTCATACCGGGCAGAAGTGGCACTTCCTCGGTAGCATGGAGGTTGTTGTGGTAAGTACGGATGATGGAGTCAGTGTCGTCTAGCGCAATCTTGCGGATGTCGGCAATGGCCTTGATCTTAGCAGTGCACTCCTTGTATTGTGCCTCAGTCATCTGCAGACCAAGCTGCTCGGCACGGCTCTTGATCGCATTCCATCCCGTAAGCCTGCTGGCAAAGTGCACGTAGCGGGACATGCCGAAATCCTGAGGGTTGATAATTTCGTATGTCGAGGGGTTGTTCAGGATGGCCTTGGCGTGAATACCAGCCTTGTGGGTGAAGGCGCAGAATCCAGTAATGTAGTTCTGAGATACGAGTTAGTGGTGTGTCCAGATTACTTCTACTTTGGAGAGTGTACTTACGTTGAAAGGAATGTTGACTTCAACGAGATCGGCAACCAGATCCTCTACCTCCTTGAGCGCCTTGATGTTGTACTTGCTGGTGACGTATTCGCGGTCGGCCACAATCATGCGGGCCATCAGGCCTCCAAGGGGAGTAATGCCGTTGCGCTCGCCAATGCCAAGCACAGAGGTGTCAATGTGCGTAGCTCCTGCCTCCAGCGCGCAGAATGCGTTGGCAATAGCACAGCCAGAGTCATTGTGGAAATGTGTCTCAATGTCGCAGGAAACGACGCCACGCAGAGTGCGGACCAAGTCGTACACTTGACGGGGAGATGCGCAGCCAACGGTGTCGGCAATACCAACACGGTCAACGCCAACCTTGTCGACGGCACTGTAGATGGAGAGAAGATCCACAAGGTCTGATCGGAACGAGTCCTCGGAGCTAAAGCGGATCTCCTTGCCCTTGCTCTTGACAAACTCAATAACCTCAAGTGCCGTGTTCTTGATGTATGTCATATCCTTGCCGTGACTGTGCTCGCGGAGGTATGCTGAGGTTCCAATGACGACATCGAGACCGTCGACACCCGTCTCGACAGCGATTCTCGCATCATCCATGTGGCATCGTACGTGGGTGAGGATCTTGGCTTTCAACTGCAAAATTATCAGCGTGCGACCTCGCTACCAGACTATATGTAAAACGTACTCCAAGCTTGCATAGAGCCTCGCAGTCCTTTCTTGACTGTTCAGAAGCAGCGGGACTGGTAACTTCGATGTCTGGAATTTGATTAGCCTGGGAAATTCTGCAGGCCAAGTGCCGCGGAGTAATTTCTTACAGTCAACACCAAAGTTGTCGAGGGCTTTGGCAATCTTGATCTTGGCTTCGAGGTCGAAGTAGGCATTGGCAAACTGCTCTCCCTCTCTCAGTGTGCTCTCTATGCGAATAAAGTCAGTTGTGCTCTGGTATAATGCTCAATTGCAAAACTTCAAATATTGACGCCCGCACATCGGGTGGCGGTGAAGGTTGGCATTCTGAACGCACCGATAATCTTGAATCGCCCAACATTTGACAGGAAGTCGCCAACAGGCTGGTAGGGACTCCTGTGTGATGGATGAGGGTTCTGCTTGGTCTGGACACCAGTGAAGCCTTCCTTGCTGCGAGGTGCATCATTGGTGCCGTTGGCATGGCCGTTGGTGGTTTCTTCTGTGGGAGGGCACATTTTGAAAATTGAAGTGTGTTGTAGAGTGTTGGAACAGTGGTGGGCGAAGAGCAGTATTTGAAGGACGGGCAGCTGCTCCCAAGGTGAGTCAATGACAAAAATCTGCTGCGCTGAGCGATGATGAAAAGTGTCAGAGCCGGGATCGGGCCTGTAGCTGTGCTAGGCCGGCTTCGCTGATGATGTGGGGTTGAGCGACCAACGGGAGCACTCCCCTTTGATGCACGGGAAGCGGAGTACAGCCATTTTTTTCCCGCTCCCAGTCTATCCCATGCTCCACAAACCTGGAGAAATTAGACCAAGACTCCAAATGTGGTTTCCGCAGGTGAGTCAAGCAATAGGGCTCTGGCAATTTGCAATCTACCCTGACTGAACGCTCTCTCTCTCATGTTTGGGCACTGGTCTGCTCGCTGGCCCCTCGCCCACGCGGTATACCAAGCAAGACGCAACAATTATCTATCTTCTCGGCTGTCCTGGTCTTTGCGAGTGTATACGCTATGCCAGGCATGTGCAACTCGATGCGAAGCAACAAATCACACGTCGCTTCCTGAAGATTACCATGCATAAGGGCTCGTCTAAACACTCCGAATTACACCGCCACACCATTAACTACCACAGTTCCGATTCCACTACCCTACTTGGATCCACTTTGGACAAAGGAGCACATGTGACATCAAGGGTCGCCCGTTCCAGCGAGGACTCTATTCGCATGCTACAAGGCATGCAAGCTTTGAATGGTTCATGCATTAACATTTGTGCATCAATCAAATATGTGAAATTTTGGATATAATCTTCCTATCCAAATGACTCAGAGTGCAACTCGACGTTTTGGGTGTGACAAGAAATTTAATATCGATGTAGCACAACACGCCTGATCCCTCACCCGCTATATTTTTCCTGGGCAGACCCTAAAGACACTTATACCTTCCGGCTAGCCGGTGGCTCAACACGCAAGCTGGTGGGGATACAGACCGCTGCTTGCAAGGTGGCACCAAGTCTTTGATTGATGTCTTCATGGCCTGTCGCCGCCCCGCCTGCAGAACTAGACCCAGGGATGTGTTGTCTATCTATCCTTTTTGCTAACCATGGAACTGGGCGGTGAGAGGCAGTGGCTCACGACAAGTGTGTAAAAGTCTAACAACTGTGATTAAAACATAACTACGTGGTATCACATCCTAGTGCCCTAGATTGCCTCATGGTATCTGAACAGAAGCAAAGTGCCCCCAAACGCCCCGCCTGACCAAAAAAAGTATCATCTATCCCCCAAAGAAGACAACTATATATTCTGCTCCATCTCTGTAATGTAGAGCTTGATGTGACTCTCCATCTTGAGATACTCGTCGTGAGCAGAGTGAACCTCGTTCTCAATGTTGTCTTTGAGCTCGGCCATCTTCTTCTCGGTCTGTTCAATACGGACTCTCCGCCGCTCCATCTCTCGCCCCTTCTCGCCACGCTCTTCGGTAAGCTTGGCGTGAGTATCTCGAAGCTCCTCCATACGTCTGCGCGCACGCTCTGCCTCTTCATCGCCTTTGGCCTTGAGCTTGTCTGTGCGGGCATTGATATTACCCAATTGCTTTTGCAATAGGCGTTCTTGTCGCTCGACGTCGCGCACATTGTTGCTCCGGTCGGCAAGCGCATCTCGGTGTCTTGATGCCTTTGCTAGCTCCTCTTCTTCTCGCGCGAGATCGGCTTGTACATCGGTAAGCAACCGCGTGCATGAAGTAACGTCGGTAGCGACAACAGCGAACGAATCGGTCGAGGTCTGAAGGGCACGAGCACGGCGGTCTAACATGTCAATCTGTGTCTTGTCGCCGGTGAGTCGATCGCTCAGGTCGCGCAATGAGTCTTCAAGAGCTGTTGGGCTCTGCTGAGTGTATGGCTTCAGTTTCAGCACCTCACGCTGAACATTCTCCTTGTTTTCGACTTTTTGCTGAAGCAGCTTCTTCAGCCTGTCTTGCTCCATCTTGGCACGCTCCAGCTTCTCCGCTACTGCCTCTTGCCCCCTCTTCAATTCTAGCAGTCGGCTCTTCAGCTCGTTATTGCGCTTCTCCTTCTCCTGCATCAGCCTTTGGGTAGCGGCACGGTTGCGCTCGAGATCGGCCAGTTGCATTTCCTTGGCTTGCTTGTCGTTGTACAGCTGTTCGATTCGTAGTTTAGTGCGTTCGGCCTTGTTGAAATGTTCGTCGATGATTTCGGTTTGAGATTCGCGGAAGCGGATAAAGTTGATCATGTACGAAAATATCTTAACAAGGCGGCCATGAGTGGGCTTGTATAGATCGTTGAAAGTAAAATCATGAATTCCACACTAGATTTGTTAGTAAAGGTCCATCCGAACACTTCCGAATGGCACTCACCTCACGCAATAGTTTTCGTAGAATGACAAAGAAGCCCATCAAATCTCTGGTATCGCTAGTGTAGAGTCGCTCTGCGTCCCCTCCGCACATGTCTTCGGCAGCGGCGCGCATCGCTGGCGCAACAACTTCGCGAGTCGTGTTCATCAGCAGTTCGGCCAGCCATTCGAAAACTTTCTGGATGATCTGGGGGTTGGGCTTCTGTAGGTCCGATACGGTGAACTGGATGCCGATATCTGAAATACAGCCTGCGATCTCGTTGTCCGGCTAGACTGGTCAGCATCTCTTCGACTCAAAGGGTGTCTGTCGGCATACCAAGGTCATGAAAGCGTCATGTTCGTTGACTGGGGGTGCGCGCTGATTGTGTTGAGTGGTGCGCGCCATGCTCATACGCCCGTTGTAAGACATGGTGGTGTTCTAGGCGACTACAGCCAGGTATTAATGTATTGGTTGAATATTGCTGGATTTGGTTATCAGGACTGCGGGGTGATGATGGTGTAATGTGGATGGGCGGTGTTTGTTTACTTACGCAGTGGAGCGCTTTGTTGGCAAGGCACGAGAGACCCTGTCTTTTCCGAATCGGGACAAGCAGAACAGCACACGGATCCGCTCCAATAGCTCATCCGCAATCAGACATGGACCACAGACGGCAGGTTGTTCCACTGCTTACGCTGCTTTCACATGCTTGTGAGCTATTGGTATGTACGCAGTACTGTTTTCTGTGCTCACATGATCTCCCAACAATGTCACGTGCATTCTCTTTCCAAGCACTGATACTCCAAGCCGTCTCACCAATATGGGCGGCTTTTGTATTGCATGCTAACTCTAGCATTCAGATGGTGGATGAAACAACTGTCATACTGGTAACGGGTTCTCTGTGACTATATCAAGCAACGTCCACTATGGGCTATGACTCCTGTTTGGGCAATCATGAGCTCTCTTATGTCTCCTTTGCTCACAGACAATATCAAACAGTGCTAGAGTGCCTTCAGTCTTGTATACAGCAAGACGTGTTGTACATGTGTTTACCTATTGCTGGTTTCTGAATGCACCTGAAAAGGTGAGGCAACTCTCTGTAGTCTACTCCACTTGAGTACAAGCCGTTCAAACACTAAGGCAGTGGGGGCGAGGAGTTGAAGTAAAAAGAGAAAGATGCTCGAGTTCTCAAGGTCACATCGGCGGCATGCATAGGTCGATTGAATCATGCCGTCGTACATACATAGATGGGTAGGTGGCATTTGGTGGGCCTCTGGTCTGGTTTGTATTTGCCTAGCAGTCCGTAGCTGGTAGGCGTACATGCATACTCGGGTATGAGGTACCGTTGGACGGAACGCTCCTTCCGACGCAGCCAGCACTAGCAACGTGACGCGGAACCAAAGTGCGAGAAAAAGAAACGACATCAAAACAAAACAATTCTGTTGCCTAGGTGTAGGAGTAATGCACTCGCGGTGGTGCGTTGGCTGTGTGGAGGATTGCGACCGGACATGCAGCAGCTTGGGGTTAGTGAGCACAGTGTTTATTGGGAGCATGGCTTTGCATGAATTGAATGACACTCAGGACAACCAATGTATCCAAGTCACTGGGAGCAAATCCCCGAGATGCAGTGTTGTAATTTTGCGCGAGGCGAGGGAGGTTATGCTTCTCCGACGCACGCCAATATTGGCTTGCTGTTGTGGCAGCTGTTATACGTCAGGCTTGAGCAAAAGTAGTAAGTATGCTTGCACGACTACGAAGCATTGGATCATAGATCCAACTAAGGAAAGAACGAGCCAGGATTAGTAACAATAGTAAGCAACAGGGCAAGACGAAAAAGATGCCATAGTTTTTGGGGATCCGTTGCTGCGTCTATGCGTTAGCTGGGGTTGTATGCCCGAGATACTTCCAACCCTAGTGGAGACGGGAGGAGGGCTGGAAACGGGCGGCCATGCGGTGGAGGTGCCATGAACAGGATGGTCGGTCGAGCCCGAGTAATGGCTTGTCATCATGCATCGCCCCCTCCCCCAGCCGTTCGGCTTAGTTGTAGGTGTAGTAGGCAAGAGGGAAAGTAAGTTCAGACTTGTGGCTAGGGGCCAAACTCTGGAGCGAGGTTTGGTGGATGGATGCACAGTGGTATTGGATCATGCGCCTCGCAGGCGTGGCGGAAAGCAGCAAGCGAGGCAAAAATTGACGTAGGTGTGACAGTTGGCGTTCCCTGTATGTCGTCCGTACTTGCATGGTTCGTATTGGCGTTGGCAATGAGCCAACTGCGGGCCGCCGAGAAAGCGGAAGCCGGGACTGCACAAGTCAGGTAATACCACAGTGTGCATTTGAAACGTCAGCCTGCCACGCCTTGAACGTTTCACGCGACCTCGAGGCAGAGGCGAGGAGGCTTGGTGGGCGCCGATAGGTCTTTGCAGCAGTAGAGGATGGGCACACGCACAAGACGGAAAAAGCAGGCGCCAGCGATGCGCAGCCGTTTGGGCCGGCGGGCGACGGTTGTGGTCTTGGGGGGCCGGAGCAGGGAAGGCCCTTACAGCGGGTGCGAAGGAATGCGCATGGTTGAGAGACGGGTACCTGAGTTGCAACGAGGCACACAACGTCGCTGTCGATGGACTTGCAGGTGGGTGGGCTGCAGGGAGATGGAGATCGTGACGGTAGTATCCCCCCAGCAAGCCACGGCTACCGTTGGCGTGCAGGAGCAGGAGCAGGAGCAGGAGCAGGAGCAAGAGCGACGTGTCCCACTGAAATTCAATACACACATGGTTTGGGTCGCAGGCGTGCAGCGTACCGCGCTCTGGCAGCGGGCAGGATCCGATGCAGTGCAGTGCAGTGCAGTGCAGTGTGCAAGTGCAAGTGCAAGTGCGAGTGCGAGAGTGCAAAAAGCGTGGAAATGACAGCGGCTTGGATGCCTTTGTTTTGCAGGTAGTGGGGGCAGCGTGTTTCTTTTTTGTTCGACGGGGGCACAGGAGGCCAGTGGCAGGCGGGCGATAAGCTGAGGTGAGCAATGGGCGAGAGGCTGCCCTGGCCCGGCCCTGGCCTGCCAAAGACGCCCGGTACAAGGACGGGGCACCGGCTGGATGCTGGCATGGGTAGCGCAAGCCCCTTGCCACGGTTGGTTGGCCACGGTCAGGACGAGATCGACGGGGCAATCTGGGACGATGCTTCTGGCGTTCCAATGCCTTGCCTCTGCCTGCCTTGTCGTGGCCGTGGGCGCGGTCGTGCCATCGTCCAGCGGCCAGGGCGAGGCAGGATTAAAAGCTGCTGCACTCCCTCGCCCGTGTCGCTGCCCTCTGCGCACCGACAAGGACCGACCAGGGCCCCAGCAGAGAAATGCCCGAAAAGAACAAGCAAGACGGGTAGTGTAGTAGTATATTTTTGGCCCTGTCCGCCTGGTGGGGATCTTCATCAGCGAAGGGTCGAGCCCTGTGAAGCAAGATTCGAGCCCTGTCTACAAGCGTAGGGTAGATACGAGCAGGCGGATCCTCCCTTACATCACATCGCAGCACCGCACCGCACCCACGCACACAGACACTCACACGCACACAGACACCCACACACACACGCACACGCAGACACAGACACATCATACTATCGTCTCATACTTACACATTCACTGCTCCTCCTCCTCCTTCTTGTCCTTGTCTCCCACTTCCCTACGCCCTCGTCACTTACCCGCTCGCTCGCTCGCTCGTTCGCCCGTTGGCGGCCCCAGTCCGAGTGCCACCCGCCCACTGCAGCCCGCGCAACATGCAGCCCGACCGGCCGTGCAGCGACTCCCATTCCACATAGCACCCGCCCTCTCTCGCTATCCCCCGACCCGCCTCGTCGCGTCCACTGCCGCGACGACGCCCCTCTCGAAAAACACCTGCTTCATAGAGCTCCTCGCCGTCGCCGCCGCGCTGGCGCCCGCGAAGCCTCATGTGGCTGTTTGGGCGGAGGCGGAGGAAGGCCGCTAAATTAAGAGACGGTGGTGGATCTGCTGCCGCTACAGAAAGGAACTTGCCTGTCGCATCCGCCGCCGGCCAGCAACCCAACACGAATCAGAGCAACAATGGCCCGCGGCGAGGCCCTAGTCAACGCTTACGCCGCAGACGGGGCAGTTCGCGGTCCACGCCCGCTTCAATCCGCGACGTTGACAAGACCCTGCCCGAACTCTCTTTTGCCAAAGAGGCTTGGCCCCAGTCGAGCACTGAAGACATCACCGCCCTGCCTGCTCAGCGCCGCCTCCAACACAGTCCGCACCTGCGTCCCATTACCCAGGAGCACGGCGGCATCCTCTACAACTTCCAGTCTCACATCCATCCCGAAACCCTGTCCTCAGCAAAGGATCGCGGCAAACTCCAGCGATCCCAGTCAATGCGCAGGGATCCGCATATTGTAGACTCCCTTGTCCGCCGCAAGTCGAGTAAACGGCGCAGGGAACATGATCACGTCCGTGAAGAGGAGATCCGCGCCATGTCTCTTGCTATGCCTCAGAAACGACCCGCCGGCAACTCTGCGAGTATGCTGCGCAGAGACAGCAAGAAGATCAAGGGCGCCATCAACTACCGCCTTGAGCGCCCAACCTCGAATGTTTCCCTACCCCTCGCCGACTCGATCCACTCGTCCATGTCTGGTGGCTCAGACAACCGCGCCTTTCGCGTGAGTGCACTCGATATGTTCTCACCTCGACCCACCATTCGCGTCTCTTACGGCTCAAACTATCACGCAGGCGACCGCACATCACCCAATGCACGCAGCGAAAAATCCGCACGCCGCGACCGACGACCAATCACTAGCGATGAGGAAAAGGCAAACCGAAGAACAAGTAGAATTGATGACTTGGCTGACGACCTCGACACTGGAGCACTCCGCGATATCCTTGAGCGAGACAAGAGGCGGAGAGAAAAGAAGGCCAAGGCCGACCAAGAACGTCTCCGCCGAAGGCTAGAACGACGTGCCGAGAAGCAGAATGCTGCTGAAGCCCAAGCCGCACCTGTAACTCCCCGCAAGGATGAGATTAGCAGTACAGCTGGGCTGGGCATTGAGCGAGAGGCCCCTGTGCCCATGGAGGATGTTCGTCCATCGACACCAGACCGACCCCAGCCAGCTGAAATGCCCATCACACCTCCAACACAGGTCAACAACCAATTACCCACCCCATTCGAAAGCCCCGTTGAAGAGCCCGTGGTATCCGATGCCCAAGCTATCCGCTTCTCGCGAGGCAGCGCCTCCACACAACTACACACCCGTGTCGTGTCAAATGCTTCCATACTCCCAGAACTCCTAACCGAGAAACTTGGCCACGACACTCCTATCGAGTTTGTGCACTTCCAAGAGCCCACAAGGAGTGGATCATTACACCCTGTTGATACCATTGACACTACGGCGACCTCGAAGAAAGGATCTTCTATGCGTAGGCTCAGTACTGAGGGCAAGCGCTTGGGTGTGTTTGCTTCACTCTTCCGAAGAGGAAAGCGCAACTCGCAAGACCGAGCACGTCCTCCGCCTTCCGAAGCCTCCTTCTCCAACACATCACGGGAATCCATGTCTCGCCAGCACATTCCCATTCACCTCATCGGCACTGCACCTGTTGAGTCACAGCCAATGCAGATTAAGAGACCCTCCAGTGTACCTCGGCGAACCCGATCAAAGTTTAGGGAAGATCTCCCCGAATTCCCTATCTCACCTCCCGATTCCCGCGTGCAATCACCCGAAGCACCGGTCAACACTGGCCTTGCTGCTCGCAGAAGGAGCCAGCATCTGTCGGATGTTCGTGTGGGACCGCCATCCGATGACCGGTCTGATTCGCCCGTGAGTCCCAGTGTGCCTACCAACAACATGTCGCAGTCTCTTGCATCGGTCGACTCTGAAGCATCATGGCTTTCAGGAAGACCGCTTAAACGGCCATCCAATCGGTCTCAGATGCGCTCCAGCCTCAAGTCTTCGGCTGTGTTGCGTCACGAGGAGTTCAATCCTTCCTACGAGGAATTGGGAATGGCCGATGACGAGTACTTCAAGAGACTTACGGGTATGCCAAACCAAAGAGGCTCCTCTCCTTACGGAAGCGATGACCGGGGCCCAAGAGCTAGTAGCACTTTGATGGCGCTTGACACTGCGGTCGAATCCGACGAGGAGGTCGAGTCCACTGTTGTGGCTTCGACAACCGAAGAAGGAGACCAGCGTGTCCAGAGCGGCGTCGCCCGGCAGCCTACTATCGTCTACCGCCGGCCTCGCATCCAGTCCACCGAAGGTCTTCTAAGCGTCTTCACTGACGACACGGGTGATAGATTCTCCAAGGCGGCCGAAGTAGTGACGGAATCGCCCACTCAAGAGTCGCCAACATCACCGACATCAGATTCGGAGCCAATGGTGTTGCAACGTGCCAAAAGTGTTGATCTCGGCAAGCACCATGTCAGGCACCTCAGCGCTGGTTCAGCGAGGCTTCTGGACATCCACAAACGGTCAAGCATACCGTTGGACGACAACTCACCTGCAAGACAGCCCGAGCAGGAGTAAAACAACCGTTTTGTAAGAGCTTTCTTGATTTCTGACTTTGCATGCCTGCCACGCCACGCCATTCATTTTGCATTTTTCCTTTGTACCTTGATTTACTCACTCAGTCACTCGTTTACAATTTCCTTGATTGTTTCCTGTCTCTTGTCTCTTGTCCCTTTTTGGCTTGGCAGCATGCGATTCATTGATCAGGGAAGCTCTCGAATGGATGCAAGCTCCATCTCGGACCCTTTTATGGATTTGGGTTGTTCTTTGCGCCTTGCATAGCGCGGCGTTTGTATTTTGTTTCAGGATTTGGGTTTGTTTTATTGTGGTCTGTGATAGCACAAGCAGCTGCGGTCGGCTTCTGTGATACCCTCCTTATGGATTGCGATGTTGGTTTTGTAATTAATAGTTTTTTTGGAACACGGGCAGCATTTAGACGTGGGCAATTAGGCCTAGTCTTTTAGGCCCGCCGCCTCATTGTATTTTTTTGGCGTGTAGAGCTGGCGTTGTCAAGACACTGTCTTTATGAATCTTTTCTTCCAGGAAAGACTGTAATTTTAAGTTGAGCCGCACCGGTGGCTTTTGTGCATCTATAACTGCGCCCACCTGCTGGTGTGACTGTTATTTATGGATCTCGATATAGAGATGAGTAGAGATATGCCAGGTTTCCATCCATAACTTGTTACATGGTGCTTCTGAGTGGTTGAGTTGCAGTGAATGGACGACGTCGTGGTTGCTGCATGGCCCGCCGCACGAGGCAGGACCCTGGCGGGGCAACTCGGGTCGTCGGTCGGCCAAGCACGTCATTCATCACTGCAGCCCCTCCAGCCACCGGTGTACAGTAATCCGCCTTTATCAGCGCGCCTGACGCTATACATACCTAGGAAACTCGGAGAAATCCAACTTCACCTACCATCACAAATACGCTCAACCTTTGACATTGTAAGCAGCCCCTTTGCGTTCCTATTTGCCTCCCCGCCGTCCCGCTCCAGTGCACTACTGCGATTCTTGCATTTGCGCAGGGACTCCCAGGGCTTGCCGAAAAATAGGCGCGCCTCAGCATTGTAATCGGCAACGGCGGCGGCCAGTTCATTCCATCGTCCCGAGCATTTGAAATCACCTTTTTCTTGTAGTCTCTCTTCTCGTCTAGTATATATTATGTTCGCGCCGTCATCGTTCAGAGCTACCAGAACACTGCTCACATCTGTGCGTCTGCAAGCAGCTTCCATCAACCCCACCTCAACCGCAAACCTCTACCGACCACTCTTCACCCCGCGTTTCTTCTCAAACACCGCAAAAATGAGCGAACAAAAGGAGGGCGTCCACAACCTTATGACGTAAGTTTCTGCCTGTCGCCTTTCGCGCAACGTACGCGACGTCATGGTTGGTAACCGCAGCTGACGCGATGCGAATTGTAGCAAGACCGACTTTGATGCCGCCATGAACGACAAGGAGACCCTTATGGTTCTTGACTGCTTCGCAACATGGTGCGGCCCTTGTAAAGTGATTGCTCCCCAAGTCGTCAAGTAAGCTTCCGCCCTGGTCCATTTACGCAGATTGCGCATCTCACACTGCACTAGGTTTTCCAACGAATACCCCGCCGCACGCTTCTACAAGCTCGACGTTGACGAGGTCCCCGATGTCGCCCAGGAGCTCGGTATCCGCGCTATGCCCACCTTCTTTCTTTTCAAGGGCGGTGACAAGGTCGCCGAGGTTGTTGGTGCCAACCCCAAGGCTCTCGAGGCCGCCATCAAGGCCAACCTCGAGTAAGAGATATATGCCGCAATACACTTGGACCGTTCCCGCAATCATGGGTAATCTCACTCGACAGATGAGGCCCTCATATTAAATGGGGTTGCATTCCTTTGAGAACGATTGGACAGTGGGCAGCAAGCGGGGGAATGCGGAATTATGATAGAATTTTCTGAATACCAAAATAAACAAGTCCCCCCGTACTCTAGGCTTTTATTGGCCCCCTACCTTGAAATAATGTGTCCTATCCAGAACCCGAATCACTGGGTAGTGTCCGCAGACGCGTCCAGGGTCGTACTTTTTCGTCCGCTGAAATACTGGCGGAAACCATTCCATAACTCACATGCTCAGCCCTACAAACGGATATGCAGACGCGCCCATATCCCACTGAGGCCTCCATCCCTTCCCTTCCGCTCCGCCTTCCAATGCACTCAAAAGCTGACATGTCCAGTCCTCTCCCAAACAAAGACTCCGACTTCCCCGTACAAAAAGCACCTCACCCTGTCCCATAAACAAATCCGCAAAGCAAAAATGCGTAATACCTGTCGCCGCCCCTTGTCCTTCCAATGCACGCTCTTGGCTCAAATCCTGCTGCTCAACCGCAAGCCGCTTCACCCACTCGACCCACCCGTTCCCCTCGCGCTTCTCTAGCATAACATGCCTCAAGCAAAGCTCCCTCAGCGGCCCTCGCAGACTCTTCCCCAGAAACATGTCCAACCACTCTACGCGCTCAATCTTCATAACCGAAAGCTTACACACTACCAGCTTGTCAAAGCAACAGTGCCTCGCTAGATCCACAAAAACATTATGCTCGAAGTTACTATAGCAACTTAATTCTAGTGAAGTTAGGTTGTTCATTTTAGACAAGAAGCGCACGATGAAGGGTGCACGAGGAGGAGTAGAAGATGACAATGACGAGGAACCTGGCGGTGCGAGTTGAAACCCAGACTCTTGTTCGCGCCAGTCGCGCAGGTTGAGCGCGAGATGCGTTAGCGTGCTGAATGCCTTGTCGAAGCAAGGGAGGAGCGGCGCGAGACCTTCCAGGCGGCCGATGCTTACGGCGCCGTGGTGGAACGGCTTGTGCAGCGCGATGCGCGAGAGGTGCATGTGAGGGGATGCTGCGAGGGCGGCGAGGGTAGAGACGAAGGGCCGCGAGATCTCGCATTGGCTGAGTGCACAGTATGCTCTTGCGCATTTTACAAGAGAGGCCGGAAGCCCGGTGTAGAGGAAGGTGATGGTGGTTAGGTTTCCCTGGGACATGTTTGCGAAAGCTTGCTTGAGGGTTTTCCGGTCGTGCCGGGTTTCGTTGAAGAAGGAGGTGTTTTGTGCGGCTTTTTCTGCGGCTTGCGCCCAGGCGTCTTGGAGTTTGCATTGTTCGGGGGATGCCGCGGTCTTGGAGGAGGAACAGCTGGGGAAGGGGGTTATCTCAGTTATTCGTTTGGAGAGTTGCCAGAGACGCATCGAGTGTCGGGGTGTTGCGTCGATGATGAGGTGGCGGAGGGCGTTGCCATATTGTGGGTGTAGCGAGATTTGTACAAAGGCGTCTAGACTTGGTTTGGTCCAGAATAAAGTGCGTTGCTGGAAGAAGCGGTCTTTGAAGAGGTGGGATGATGCTTTTGTTAGAGAGGATGTGGTTAGGCGGAGTGAACGGGTGCTGGGGAGGTCGAGATACGAAGCAATGTGTTCGATGAGCTCGTTGGGAAGAGATGTCAACGTCATTCCGTTTGTATTGGCAGGAAGATTAAGGATATCAAGGGGATTCTTAACCGAGAGATTGACTAAATAAATAGTAGGCGTCAAAGAATTGGTTATAGTCCGACTTGGGCAACAAGAGCGGGGAACTCGTGGGACACGATGGAGCTAGCTGGTTCGGGTAGCATACTTGCATATTTCCTAACCGGGAATATCTTCTTGGTTCCATGATGGAGGCCATTAAAATCCATGCATTCTGTTTGTGGTATGTAAAGATGATATTCTGGCTTGCTGGTGAAGAGTCCAGGTGGTTTTTTGAGGACAATGGTATCTACAAGCCAGATAACGCCGAGATCACTGATCAAATGCAATGCAAAATATTTTGGAAAAAGTCACTCCGCCATCTAGTCGCTATCACTACCGCTGGAAGAGTCACTGCTGCTGCTATCACTCCCACTGTCACTGTCGTCGCTGGAACTAGCAGCATCCTTTGCAGAACCGGAGTCTGAGTCCGAGTCCGAGTCCGAATCTGAATCTGAATCCGAACTCAAACTGTCATCGCTACTGTCCGAACTGCTCTCGTCACTTGAGATTTCGGACCTCCTCTTGCGTTTTCGCGCGTTCGATTTCGGTGGGTCAGGCTTGACGTGCTGCATCAGCGGATTTATAACGGGCTTTGGTGGTGCTACGACTGGTGCAGTGCGCCCTAAAGCGTTAAGAAGCGCCTCGGCTCGGCGTCGCTGGAGTCTTCTAATAAAGCCAGGGCTATACGGATGTTCTGCAAATGCGGCTACATCGCCGTCAGTCTTCCTTCTCTTTCTCTCCTTGGCGACGCGTTCCTGCTCCGCCTCCTCCTGAGCTACTTTGCGGGCCTCTTCATCGTCCATTTTTGCGTCTTGCTTGTCAAGGTCGTCTAGTGTCGCGTGGCAGCGCTCACGCAAGCGGTCAATAACACCTGCTCCTTGAAGTCCAGCAATGTATGTCGCTAGTGCTTCAGAATGCTCCATTGGGACCCGGAAAATGTTCAAAGCATTGTCGACAACGTCATTTTGCTTGGCCTTGTTGAACTTCCAATTGCTTCGGTCATTGTAGTATTGGGTGAGATAAGCAATGTAGATGGATGGATCCTTTTTCTTACCCTTTGCCGTGGGCGCGGTTTGTGAGGTGGCTTGTTCGGCGTTGGGCTTTGACTTTTCCAGCTTTGACTCGTCCTGGTTGGGGTTGGTTTTCTCAGCCTTTGCGGGCTGAGGTGACGGCTTTTCTGCTAGTCTAGTCTGCTCGCTTTCCTGCTTCCTCTCGAGCTGTCCGTTCTTCCTTGCCGTCTTCTCTTCGTCGGCAATCAATGCATGCAGGACGAAATTCGAGACCTCTGGTGGCTGAGACACCTCTCCAGTGCCTTTCTGTGACGCAACCCAGGCTTTGAAGTAATCCTGTCCGGTATTGCCGTCGGACTTTTTAGTGTCCGGGGTAAAGGCAACAGTTTTCCGCGGTGAAGCTGAGGGGTCTTTGCGGCTTTGCTTTGTCAGAGGCTTTTGTGAAGTCGCAATTGGGTCTGCATTATTTGTCTCAGTGGACGCAAGTAAAGTTGGGCGCTCTGTTGCAGTCGCAGGTGATGCACGGCTGGGCTGGGAGTGCGGCTGGAAGCCGGCATGCTGAGCGTCTTTAGTTGCTTTTGGGCGTTTGGCTAGCTTTTCTTTCTTCTTCCGATAGTTGGAGTCTCCCTTGGTAGGTATTGCTGTCTCTGGGGCTTTCTCTGGGACAGTCTCAGGAGGCTCAATGGGCGTGTTTTGGTTGATTTGGATGTCGGTAATAGCGATCCGGCTCTTTTTGGTTTCTTGATGATGGGGTTCATCTTGGTGTTTCCGTTTGCCAAGCTTGACCGCCTGATCGCTTCCATCCAGCTCAATGCCTAAGGTAGATTGCTGTGGAGCATTGGAAGGAGTTTGATTTTCAGACACGGCGACTCCGGCGTGCTCTTGGTTCCTGAGGGCGAGACCCAGTCTCCGCCAGGCGGGAATTCTGCCCGCGTCTTGGGCCATGATCGAAAGAGGAATATGGCTATGTGCGACTGAAGATGCAGAAGTTAGATGGCATCGCGCATGACCGAATCAGCTGGAATAGGGCGTTCGTCAGTATACAAAGGTCGAATGAGAAGTCGCAGGCAGAGAATTTCGGGGCTGATGCTAGGGGTGCACGGGCCAGGTGACGGCGATCCCAGAAGCTCCAGGCCACAAGCAACGCGTAGGTGAAGCAGCGATAGCCAACACCAGCAACCTCTGGCCTACATCCAGACCCGCGCCTTTTTTCAACACATCGCATATTTCCGGGACCTGCTGCGGGAGCTGAAGCTGAAGACGGAGACTACAAATATAAACCAAATCCACCACCCACCACCGCCTTCATCATGTCTGGTCCGTAGCAAGCTGCCCACCAAGCTACATAGATGCTGACAACGGTGGCCACCATGTAGGAAGCGCAGGCTACGACCGACACATCACCATCTTCTCGGACCAGGGCCGTCTCTACCAAGTTGGTATGCAGCCCATTGCCTGTCCACACACCGCTGGGGCAGTCACCATTGCCAACTGGCTGGCTGCCCGCTGCTGTGTCCTCGTTGACAACCAGATGCTGACCCCGCAACACCAGAATATGCATTCAAGGCCATCACCGCTGCAAACATCACATCGTTAGGCGTGCGAGGAAAGGACTGTGCGGTAGTCATCTCGCAGAAGAAGGTGCCTGTACGTGTGGCGCATGCGAGGAGGGGCTGGCACTGTGTGTACTGACATGTCTCCAGGACAAGCTCATTGACCCCAGCTCGGTCTCGCACATCTTCCGGCTGTCGCCCTCGGTTGGCTGCGTCATGACTGGATCCATTGCCGATGCGAGAGCCTCAGTGAGCAGAGCGCGGGGTGAGGCTGCCGAGTTCCGCTACAAGTACGGCTACGAGATGCCCTGTGATGTCCTGGCAAAGAGGATAGCGAACATCAGCCAAGTCTACACTCAAAGGGTACTGCATGACATTACGTACAAACATGGGCCAATTGATTACTGACAGAGGGGCAGGCTTACATGCGACCGCTAGGCGTGGCTACCACGCTCATCTCGCTCGACTCTGAATACGGACCCCAACTCTACAAGTGCGATCCTGCAGGCTACTATGTCGGTTACAAGGCAACAGCATCTGGCCCAAAGACGCAAGAGGCGCTAAACTTTCTTGAGAAGAAGCTGAAGAACAAGGAGCATGCCGATGGCAACTGGGAAGAGGTGGTCGAGCTTGCCATTACCGCATTGAGCACTGTCTTGTCTGTTGACTTCAAAAAGGGAGAGTTGGAGATTGGCATTGTAGGAGGACCCAAGGCGGATGGCGCGGAGGGTACAGATCCCGCCTTCAGGGCGCTCACCGAGGACGAGATCGACGAGCGACTTCAGTCAATTGCAGACAAGGACTAGGAAACAGCAAACATGGGCTACAAGGAGGGTGTGGGGCGCTCAGGTACGGCCACACAATCTAAAGCATTACGATATTCACAGGTAGCATGACACGACCTCTTACACGCCAGAAGTGCTCGAGCAGCACGATGAATAAAGACGTTAGACTGTACTCTCCTGCCTAAATGAACCGTGAGCGAGCCACCAACGCCGGACATGCACAAAAAAAGAAGTGCGCGAGCTCAGCCATGAGGCCGCTTGGCTATTATGCCCATTCGCCCATGGCCCCAGATTCCCATAGCCTCTCAGCTGCCAACGGCTGGCCCTCAACTCGTGAGCAGCATCCTCGACGTCATCTGACTGGCTCACAGCATTCGGAGCGCCCAGCACAGCCGTCGCGTGGCTGACACCGCCTTTGCGGCTTGCAGCCGTGGCTTTGGCGAGCGTTGTGCGTCCCTACGCGCACTGATGCTCCATTCCCGGACATGCCTCTCAGGTTCACCCTCAGCGGATCAGCACGCGATGAACGCACCGCTAATCACACTAGAACCAATCGCCGCCCTCGCTGAGGCTAGGATACACAGCCTGGCATCGCTGCCTTACCCGATTCAGGCCCCTAGAGCTGGCCCGCTAAACCCAATTCTCCGTGTGGCGCACCTCACGCTGCTGAAGTCAGTCAACACTACGCTGTCCACTCCAGCTGGGATGCCGCGGTAGCGGAGCACCGAAAAAATCAACTCGTTATGATGCAGCCGCACGGTTCCTGCATGCTGCGTTTCCCCATTGTAGCACCGATGGATACTCATGGCGATGCTAGTATGCCTTCTTCCTCTTCCTCCAAGCCTCGACATACTCTATGCCGGCCGCTGAATGGTGCGAGCGGAGACGAACCTAGTACAGCTGGAAGCGACTCACACTCTCAAAGTGGAGCTCGGCACCATGTAGCGGCGGGAGTAGCCCTGCAGGGAGGCTTCTATTCTCTACCCAAGCTATCAGAACCTCGCCCATGGCCCTACTACCTCCACCGTAGCAGGAGTGTGCATCTGAGGACATATGACTATTTAACACTCCTCACGCCGCGCCTCATTCTTCCATACAAGACAGCAAGCCTCGATTCATTCTTCGATATACTACACTCCTTTCTACACATTCGTCGCCAGCCGACCTTTACTTTGAAAATCTAATCTTCATCATGTCTGATGGTCGTAAGGCATCTCTCAACTCTTTTGGGGCCCATCACTACGTCTTCAAGGGAGAATCTATCAGACCCTCCTTGCTAACATTTCAAAGTCAACGATGCCCGCGCAATGCGCGTAGCGGAGATAATGACTGATTTCCGCAACCTTCAACACTACCTTGTCCAACTACGCGCCACACCGACAGCCGAGGAGTACTACTTAGATGGCTATTCTCTTCTCCGACAGTGTACGAGCGAGGCTCAGGCTATCCTCCAGACGCCATTCGCCAGCAGCACTCCCTCGGGAACGGGTGACCTCGAGCATGAAAAGCGGCAATTGAGGGCGTGAGTGATTGTTTTGGGAGGCCTCTTGATAGCATGCTAACATATAATTCACAGTATTATCATAGATGCAGCTGTTCGCCGCTTCCAATGCCAGCGTGCCTACCTTCGAGCCAACGCTGGTCTCCGCTGGATGAACAGCCGTCAGAGCATCTTGCGTGGCGAGAAACCTAATGCTAGTCATATGGCAGCATTGCAGCAAGCTGATGCCACATTGAGGAATGTACGTGAAATGCTTCCCCTGTCCACCTCGCCTCGGGAAGCTGGAGGCCTTCCCTGAAGGATGAAAGCGCTTCAGAAAACCTGGAAGACTAGAAGATCATTATCCAGACTTGAAACATGGGCTGACAAGCGAGCAATAGGAACTCATGGCCATGACAGACGCATACATTTACGATACCCTCCTTGCCGCAGATGCAGCGCAGAAAAAATTCCTCATTGACGATCCCTCGCTTGCACAAATCCAGCAGATCATTATGTCTCGACAATAAGCGAGACCCCGTAACGATAATGTCCCTCAACTTTGGATACCCCCATTATACTCCTCGGATACACGCCGCCTACTCTGGCGCCATTCATGACTCTACGCTACGATATCATGCTGCATAACGGTCGCCTCGGCATCGGACGAATCCGCTCCCTCCTATTCGCCCCACCCATCATGTTTCCAGACATCCCTTTCCTTTGGATTTCTGCCAGTTTTTTTTGATGGCAACCATCCTTTCTCACTCGACAACAGTGCTGGCCACGCCCTATTTTCTTCTCCCTTTTCACAACCATAAAGCGTTATACATGTAAGTTTTTCTTGGCCTTGGTCGGTCTTAGCGCTGGCGTTGGCGTTGGCGTTGGCGTTGGCGTTCAGCTAGTCCAATCCTTCGGGATATGTCATTTGTTACTGGAAGGTGCACGCGGCCGGTACCATGTATCCGCTAATGAGGATATGCTGGAGAGCGAGTAACGAGTGGAGCTTGTGAACTTTAGATCACTTGATTCCCTCGGCTTGATTGTTTTGTATTACTAGCACTCTGGATTTGTCTCGTCTCTCCTTCCTGTCCCTGTCCTGTTTACTTTCCCTTGTGTCTAAACCTTTATTTCATTTCTCTTTCTGTCCATATACTCATGCATTGAATATATCCAGCAATTAATTACCATCTCAAACATTCACTTGTCCTCCGTTATGAACACTTGTGCCGAAGAAAAATCCAGAAAGAAAAGCCCGAAAAGCATCTAGAAGCCGTAGATGCCGAACATTTACATGGTACGCGGCAGCCCTAGAACTACACGTGAACTTTTTCTTGTTTCCAGCCTTAACTAGCGCGGCTAGGGCTACTAGTTCTTGAGCTTCACAAGGTACTATGCATCGTAAAACATGATTCAGGTTCAGCTCGACAGGCGCCGCATGACACGCAGCGGCCGAGCATGATCGGACGATTATCGGATACCGCCGTTGTGGAACCGAGCGGTCATGACAGTTTAGGCGTGTGTTCTTCCACTCCTCCCCACCACCGGCAATAAGCCACAGAGAGCGAAATAAGTCTACTGGATAATAGAGAGCAAACGTGACGCATGTCGTTGGCCGAGATGGTGCGAAATGACGATATTTCAGCTCATATCGTCTGAAATCGCAGGGCTGAATTCTTCATCCTTGCGGATCGGGGGGCACACTTTGCAGTCTGACCCACTCTCTTCTTCTTCTTCCTCCTTCCTTCGTCTCCTTCGCTTCTTTCATCTCCCCCAAAACCAAACATCTACCTCAACCCGCCTGACCATTAACCTCCGCAAAAAAAGGAAAGCCATGGAGGCGCGGAAACCATATATACCGAACTAAACCCTTCAAAATAGTAATCATAGTAAACAACCAAAAAAACGATAGGCAAGAGATGTGCAAGCCAGAAGAAAGTATGAAAACGACTTTCTTCTTCTTTCGGAACACAAGACTCCGTAACCAACCACAGCAGAACTATGCACTCTTACAACGTCTTCCGCATTTATTTTGTTTTTTGTCTTCCCAGAATATCTTCCAACAGAAACTCTAGAACAGGGTTTTTTCTTGCCCGCCCATCGTACACCTCACCATCCCAGATCCCGTCCCACCCTAAGCATACAACGGCATATATCCCGTACTCGCCTCGCCACGTGATTTTCCGTATCTCAATCTCCCCTCCCCTCGAGGTGCCCTGCACCTACATACTACTACTTGCCTGTAAAAGTAACATTGTCCTTTCTGTGGCGCTTTTCTTTTGTTATCTTGTCGCATATGCTCGTCTGTGTTGCATGTGTGCGCATGTGTATATGAGTAGGTGTGTGTGCGTATGGCCCGCGTGGGGCTTAGATGGGAAGGATTGCGAGGCGCAGGAAGCTAGTCTGTTTTAAACGAGAAATCGTGCATGCGTGTATGTCGAGGTAGTACATGCATATTCGGGGTTCCCGAGAGCCGCAGGGCTGGGGAATCTTAGCGGGTATTTTACGTCATTTGGGAATTTTCTGGCATTGTTGGTGGAGGATTATGGGGAGGCTGTGTAATTTGTCTTCTTTGGGGTGTGGTGGATGTGTGGGAGTTTTATTTTTAGATAGTTATGTAGTATTGCTATCGATGTTTAATGGTATTATCGTAGAGTTGAACATGATCGGGTGGTTTTTCCTTGTTTCGTTGGCTAGTACGTATCGCCATACGCCTACTCTGAGATCCTACCTACTATCCGATTCCTCTCGCTGCCTTCGCATCATTTCTTCCAACTCGCTCCTTTGCCTCGTTATTAGTGCAAGTGTATTCTCTGCCCTCGTCTCGCGCTCTTGAAGCGCTGTTTCCCACCTTAGCAAGTTTGTGTACCGGACATCCAGAAACCGCTCTCGCTCATCTAGGTACTGAGCGCGGGCTTCGGGAGAGCGGAATGACTGAGAGATACGAGTGTGAGGTTGTGGGATACCGCTGCGAGGCCCAGTCACTCCGAAATCTGCGCCGGGACGCCGAGTACGAGTCTGTAGATTTGGAGAAGCAGGCGTCCCGGCAGATGAGACGGTATTTTGCTGTTGACCTGCCATCATCAAGCCCTCGCCAGGCGTGGCGCGATGCTGCCCATCTCGAGGACTGGGCTCATCCCGTGCACGCGCCATTCCCCGCATAATATGGCCGGTGAAGCGGTCGCCCCTAGCCGCGACTTCGGGTGCAGTCCCGTTCACGGCGGTTCGGAAAGCGTTCAATGCGCGCACGTTCATGAAGCGGTTGAGCGGGTTTGCTCCTGGTGTATTGGCGGAGATGGCTCCTCTCCTTCTTCTGGACTCGACCCTGTTGGTCTCGCTACCGCTGCCAGACTGGCTCTCCTCATGGCCGTGTTGCAATCGACCCTGGCGTCTGTTTCGGTTGGTCCGATCCGCTACTAGGTTGTCTGCTCGACGCCGTATATCAGCGATATGGGCTGTTAAATCTTCATAGTTCCTGACTTGGGTTGCGTAATCCTCTTCTTCTTCCTCTGACGAGTCAATGAGGACGGATTGATATCGGCGCTGCCATAGTGACGATGGCTGTATGTAAGTTCGTACCACACCTTGACTGTCCGTTGTCATAATAGGGTACGCCGTGTATCCGGGTGGAAGCCGATTGTGTGAACTGGAAGATTCTCCACCTCTATCCCGGAGCATATTCCTCATCGCTCTTATATTAGCAAGACTTCGATCTTGTGCAGCGAAATTGGGGGCAAGGCCAGATATCCAGACCGTGCGACACATCGGGCATTTCTTCTCGTCTCCTGGATGGTGATCGAGCATTTTTTGCAAACACATGCTACCAATGCGGTGGTTGCATCCTGTAATTCCTGTAATTTGAAGACAGGCTTCAGTGGTATAGCTGTCCAGGCAAATGGGACAGTCATCCGTGTTGGAATGTGGAGTGAACGATCTAGTATGATTGGCTACAAATCCCACTGCAGTTGTTGAGTTTATGGACACGGCTGGTGTTGTGACTACGACGGGCGATGGAGGACGTGCGGGTCCGTTATATGCCGGATCCAGCGCAGTGGGGTGTATACAAGCATATCCTGGGGGGCTTGTTTGAATGTACACGGGTGATGGAGTATGATTAGGGGTTTCAGGACGGAGGTTTGGATGTGCCATGTTGAAAACCTTGGGTATCGCGCGGTTGTGTACTGTGGTTGAGGTAGGGAATGGAGGAGGTGGGATATCCGGCTTGACTGCGGCACCATTTAAGTGTTGGGGCGAATGGTAGTGAAAACCCCGAATATACAGGGGGTTCGGTAGGGGTTGTTATGACCCGTGTTTGCGTCACTGTTATGAAAGTGAGACTGATGAGATTCAGGGTAAGTGAGTGAAAGAGACCTGATAAAGTGTTGCCTGATGGAAGGTGAGGACAAGACACAGTGGTGACTTGTAAATATTAGGTAAATTGGCTTTGTAATGAAACTTCAGTAATTGCCGGTTGTTACGTCTATTCTCAATTCACACTCGAAAAAGCGATAATCGGTGATGAATGAAGAGTTGGACTAGGGATGTTCGAAATATTGCCTTACTTGGGCAGTGTCTGAAGAAGTGAGGAGGAGTGATTGTAGATCCTTGGACAATTAGATAGTACTTAAGAGACGTAGACGAATCATAGTGGACTACTTTTGCGCAATAGCTAAGCAATGTAGACTTGTTGGATGTCAGTGTCTCGATCAGGCGCAACGATTTATGAGATTATCGACGATCTACCTATACAAAACGCAACTCTGTGTTCAATCCATAAGCGCTGAGTGGAGGCCAATCGGTCTATTGACATGAAACAGTCGATTCGGCCCCGAGTTTAGTGAAGATGACATTGTGGCGCGACTTGTGGCGGTGCTTCGCCGGGAATTTGCTTTCCGCAACTTTATATCGATGACCACCATCGTCGCGGACATAGCTGTAGAGAAAAATCATGTAGCCTTTTGCTCGCAAAACCCTTGTTGTGAACATTTTGCATTTATCTTACCTGCTAATCTGGATTAGGGTCGTTGGAGACCGCTTGTGCCACATACCGAACTATGTGTGAACAGGCCGCAGTTTCCTAGTCTGGTCCAAGAAGGCTGAGTTTGATCATCAGTTAATCGAGTTGTAAGCACTGAGACACCCATTATTCGAAGGTATAGGCTACGGTGTAGTAAAATTGTGATCAGATATACACCTACGATAGTTGTCCGCTTGCTTATTCGTGGAAATTCCGGGGAACCTCGATATTGTTCCGTCTTCGTCCAAGCATTTGGCACATTTTCTCCAAAACCTCGAGTACTCGAAGCTAATGCAATGTGCTGCACCCAAGTCACGATGCACCCAAAAATGCACCCCATAGTGCTAGTTACCTTTCTGTCCACCACTGAGATAGTCGCCATGTGGCAGAAAAGGCGCCAAAAGGTGGGAATCGAGATGAACAAGGATCAGTTGGTAAAATTGTGCAGATACATTGATTGCATTGTTTACTTCGTAAGCCAATCTTGTCTCTCGAGACTGTAGGATTGATATCCCCTCAGTGAAGAAAGTCATGTGACATGATTAGGGATTGCTCATGCCATATCATAAAGGAGGAACCGCATGAGATTCATTCATCTCATAAGAAGCTTTACAAACAGGTATGATATTTTGTCATATGACGTGAGATTTCCTATCATCTTAGTTGTACTGTTACGAAACGCTGTCACACCCATGATATTGACTACTGTATGCGTATACGAATCACACACCATGCTCATTCTTGGAAGCCTTGACCTGCAGAGCCCAGAAATAACTTATGTACTCACATGCGAACGTATTGAAGTAATTCTGGCCAATGGTTGGTTTTGGCGCAGGTGGCGCCCTTGTGTGGACCAGATATTCGCGCAAGCCCGATCTGCGTATTCCAGAATTCTTGGCTGAAAAAATAGACTGAGTTGAGTTATAAACCTAAGCTAATCATTTTCGTGTTTAATATAGTTTTCATAAGAATGAGACTCGTCCGTGGTTGTTGGAGTGCCATGTGTATCTTCTCCGAGTCTGCCAGCTTCTTGTTTTGTTTTGATGATGTCCAAGATGTTTGTGCTAGTATTGTAGCATCCTTCATCCTTCTGTTGTTAACACCTACTTGAACCATCTGTGTGAACATGCAAAGCGGCAAAATGGCGGTTGGCGGATTAAATTATCCGAAGATAGGGTGATGGAATGTTCGCAGCATTCAGCCTTGTATTTGTACAGACGACACGCTAGCATAACCACAAGGTGGTCCAGTGTTCTGTGTTGTGCAGGTCTTGGAGTGCAACCCCTAAGATCAATCGTTTCCTTGGCAGCACTGTAGCGTTGGGCGGAGGACCCACTGCCAAGCGAGTACGATAACCATGTGGAGTTCCGCGAATGAGCTGTGGGGAAACAAAGGGTGGAGCTCCTGATCTGGTAAGATGGGTAGACTAGAGGTCTTGAGGAGGCCTCAATAGCAGGTCTGGCGAAGATGAGGTAGGAAAGTGGCAGAGCGACGATCAACTACTTAGAAATACGAATGAAGACCCGCCGGTTAAGTCTTCCACCTCTTAGTATGGTCGGTTTACATTTAAAGCTTTCATAACACCCTCCGTTAAATCAGGGTCCATTCACTTTCTGGGTTAACATAATATCTCGATTTCATTTTCAACATGAGATTTGCCGGACTCGTCGCTGCCGTTACGGCTCTGCTTCCTACTGCTCTTGCCTGCAATGGATACACTGGAGGTGTACCTGCCGCTGTCGGCACCAAGACCAACAGCAAGGTTATTGAGATTGCAGCTGGCCAGACCTTTGACGGTAAATGGTACAGGTATGATCGTGGTAGCGGTGCCTGCTCCGGTCAGACCGAGGGAGGAGCTTCGGACGCTGTATTCTTGCTGAAGGAGGGTGCAACTCTCCGCAACGTAATCATTGGCAAGAACCAGGTGAGCCTCATGCGAGAAAAACAGCAGAGAGGACATCAATTAATTTGTCTTAGGCCGAAGGTGTTCATTGCCAGGGCCATTGCCGTCTCGAGTATGTCTGGTTCGAGGACGTCTGTGAGGACGCCATCTCCATCAAGTCGGACAAGGCGGGCAAGGAATCTTGGATTATCGGTGGCGGTGCCTACCACGCCTCAGACAAGGTTGTTCAGCATAACGGCTGCGGTACCGTTAACATCATCAACTTTTACGTCAACAACTACGGCAAGCTTTACCGCTCTTGCGGAAACGTAAGTCTTTTCGATCTAGTGAAAAGCCTAACGGAACTATGACTGACTAATCGAATAGTGCTCCACGCAATGCAAGCGTAACGTTTACATCGAGGGTGTTACTGCCGTCAAAGGAAACGAACTGGCCGGTATCAACAGCAACTACGGCGACACTGCTACTCTGAGAAACGTCTGCTCTGACGCAAAGGTCAAGTGCCAGATGTATACTGGTTGTGCTGGTGGTTGCGAGCCACAGAAGGCTGGTGTTTGCTCTGGCTAAGCTTACTCGGATGTTCAAGCCATGATATGACCCTGCAGCCAGCTGCAACGCATAATGTGATATGAAAACCGGGTTAGAATTTTGTTCTTGTAAATATTTGTTGCTTTTGTAAATAATATTTTCTTCTTCAGTAAATATTTTACTATGCTTTGCTTCACTGAAGCACGAATTGTTGACACAAGACCTGTTGCCTATATGTTCCTATACCGTTCTGATTACCGATGTCCAATTTGACAATATCCAACGTCCATCTAGTGGATCAGTTATGCCAGTAGGTTTCTCACAATGTGATTAGCTAAGATGAGTAGTGGCGAGTAAAGAGATCTTTGCTTGCTGGAGAGGTTTTTTTTGTCGTATGGTTTGGTGCGTTGGCTTCACTGATTTTATAGATGCTTATCTCGCACAAAATCCAAAGGGCCGATCAGAGATTAAGCACACGAGTCCTGCAGAAACTCGTAAAGGAATGATATTAACTACTAATAATTCTTATAAACATCTAAGGAATGTGGATATTCGTAATAAAAGATAAGAAAACACCAAGACGCTATGCAAAACAAATGCTAATCAAAAGGAATGTCCTCAAAGGCCATCACCAGCCCCCATCTCTATGCTCCATCACCAAGCCATCCATCTACAAGAAGCACTCGATAGTGAAAGTAGTAACATCGGTCTCAATAGCCTTGTCGAGGTTGCCGTCGAGGTCGACAAAAGTGTTCCAGGAGTTGAGGACTACACCGAAGGCTGGGGCGGCAGGGTCAATGAGGACGCACTGCACGTTGTTACCGCCGGCACCGGGGCTCACGGCTTGGATTGAGGTAGCGAGGACCTTGGGGCCAAAAGCACCACCGAAGAGCTGGCCGAATGTGCGGGCTCCGCCGTTGACGGGGACATCAGCATTGGCGTTCTTGCCAGAGATGTCGTTGGCGAGTTGGACTGTGAAAACGGGGGAAGCAGAGCGGGCGGTCGCTGGGGCAGCGAGAGCGCCGGCGCAGAAGAGAGCAGCAGAAGAGATGATCATGGAGGCCTTCATTTTGATGGTTGGAAGTGGTGTTTGGTGAAGAGTTGAAGAGAGAATTTGAAGATTGGAAATGGAAGATGGTAAGAAAGTTGTTCTTGTTGTAGAAGCTGTGTTGGAATGTGTTGTGAGATGATTTTCTGTTCCACGTAGAAGCTGTCTCTCTTATACTTCTTTCTGTTCGTGCAGCCTCAGTGTGGCATCTTGGAAATTCATCGATGGCTTTTCCTTAGCAATGCCTCAGTGTTACACCGCAAGAATAGCAGTCAGCAACGTTGGCACTCTACTCACAGCTGCGCTCAGCTTTGTCCACATTTTTGTTCCTCTCGTGTCATTCAACCTCTTATTGCGCCATCATTCTTGTCAAGTCTCACTTTTGGTGGAGGCTGTATACCGTATTACTCTGAAGGGCGTATGAGAAACGGTCAAGCAGACCGCTTTCTGAATGGCTAGCCTTACCATAACTATAGCTGATGCTTACAACATCATCTTTGCCAGCGCATATGGTATAGTCTCAAGTTATTAGCGAAATTGGTTAGTGTCTGCTCATATTTTCAATCCTCATTCACAGCTGCGTTGCTGTCAGCTGACTCTCCATTGGTCAAGTAAGCGAAGAAAGACCGCTATATTTATTCTCGAGCTGATGTTGTTTGCATGTGGCGTCCGCCTTCGATTGGTGGCCTGTTCTGGGCGTCGTAAGATCTTAGCGAAAGGGGGAAGTGCTATGGAGGCTGAGCCATCAGCTGCGCCTCCTCGGTAGGATCCGATGTTATTTGGTATGTTTGGTACACTTCAGAAGCCACTATGGTGAACACACAGTCGTGTGCCATTTTCCAACGCAACTGTCTTGCTATGGCTGCTATAATGGGATGGGATTCAGTTTGCTCTAGCAGAAAGCAGTCGCGCACATCACGCGCATTACAACATGCACTTACGCCTTGGTTATATCAAACACTGCAGATCTGAGCAATGGAGGATGAATCATTGAAAGAAAGAAAAATGCCCACCTACGTTATCGAAAACAACACTTCTCCAGGGTTGTTGACTGACAACTACTATACCTCGCAATATCTGGAATTTTGTAGTTACGCTTAAGTGAGACTTGTGAAGACTACTCGCTCGGGATACAGTCTCGAACGATTGACAAAAAAAGTTCGTTTATTTTGATTTTGTTACCCGCCAGTTACCTCCGTCTCAGTTTTCCTGGGGGAATTGGATGATTCTCCAACTTAGAGATTGCCAAACTTTCACGTGAGTCACGTCTGTCTCCTCGCAAGTATGCAGGCGGCAAAACTTATTCTTGTCTCGTCAGACTACCCTTCATCATTAACAACATTCACGTGAAAATAAAATCCAGAATTCTCGAGTATGAATTCATCAAAATCGATTGCCGACTTTTGTCCATCTGAGCACGTAGCACCAACTACCCCGCTGCCTCCCCACCCCCGCCTTGCCTACTAACCCCGCTTCATTTACTCAAATACTCCAACTCCAACCGGACGAACACCCTGGCCCTTGTAAAGCAAGTCGCACCATCACGCCATGCGGTGGCAATATGTAGTACCACCACAGCTTTTCAAAATTTAGCCCGACGCTGCGCCAAGTGGCCGCGTTACGGCCATCAGAATTGTTATACCATGCTTGGCAGTTTCACCAGGGGCGTTAGTACTACACTTGTGCTCGCTGCCCGAGCAGACTCCAATTGGAGCTTGAGGCAAGGAAATATACATTGACTAGGGCAGCAACGAAAGCAAACAGTGAAGCGGATGGCGAGAGAGCCTCGCCATATCCCGTGTGCTGCAGAGAAGATGACTACATATGGAGCTAGATAGATGAGCCGAATTTACTACGTAAGTATATCCGTTCTTCCGTGTTCAAGGCCAAGAATTCGGTAGAGAAGGGATAGGATAGAAAGTTGAGTCCATGTAGTAGCACGTCAGTAGCCCTCGCCATCTCACCATCTCACCATCAACCTTTGACCAGCCTATTCTACGTCAATTAAGTACCAGATGGTGCAAAACACTAAAGATTGGCAGATTGATTGGAGCAACTACTTCTTCCAAACCGTGAGTATCAAAGAATCTTCAGTAACATCTCAACGTAGCACCATAACGGCACGCTTTTACGCAACCCAGGGACCCCAGGCATACGCACACGCACGTTGCGGCTTTCGGAAATGTTTAATGTCCATAAGTAGATGAAGACCGTAGTTTCGGATGCCTTGTCTGTCGTTTGAAAAGCCGCCTTCCAATCCGAGATTAGAATGCTTTACAAATGGAGTATCGGGGATACTGTAAGTGTTTCGGGATAACTTCCAAGAGAAGACTCAAACAACATCATCGTAACAAGAAGTCCATCCAGGGTTTTCAAAATACTGAAGAAAAGAACTGGATGTGCACATATAGACATGCAATCAAAGTATAAACTCCATAATTTCCACTTCAACAAAGTCACCTATCTCCTACCCTAGAACATATTTACAAAAACCCCAAACCCCCAATCATGTCCTTGCCGTTCACCAATTCCAAATCCCCATCTACTGGGGTGGCGCAACAGGCGACGGCCTAGGCGGAATCGATGCTACCCAAGAAATCAGCCTACCCTATCCCCTTGCTCATCCCTTGACAAAGGAAAAAAACTTACGAAAAGCAGGGGGCGCGCCCGTAGGTCTCGGCGGAGCCCCACCAGTAGGGAATCCAGGAAAGCCACCTGGAGGAAACGAAGGCATGCCGCCTGGCGGGGGGAATGGAGGTGCACCGCCGCCGGGGAAGCCGCCAGTCGGGCGTGGAGGAAAGCCTGTGGGCACAGGGCCTGTAGGGCGCGGTGGGAAGCCGGTTGGGAAGGCAGGGGGAGTGCCGCCGGGGGGGCCCGGAGGGGTTGGTCGGGGCGGGAGACCGGTCGGGGGAGAGACTTGGCGTTCGATGACGGGGGCGGCGAGGGCGCTGGGTGTGTTAGTGGAGGGGATTTTTGGGGGAGGGGTAAGGAGGTAGGGATGTACCTGGTGGCCAGGAAGAGGATAGTTGCGAACTTCATGGTTGAGAATCGAGGAAGTGGTTGTAGTAGAAGGTAGATTGTAGTAGAGATAGCTGGAGAAGCTTGATGGTGGTGAAAAAAGATGGTACTGAGATGGTGCTCTTTATACACCTCTCATCGCGTATCATTTCTTTCCAAAGGTGCTCAGCAAAAGTCATGTTCCTGGCTGCTAGTCGCCCAGCGTAAAGTGCTTTCACGTAGATCTATCCAAAAGCAAGGTTGGATAGATGAAAGGCTAATATCGCAGGTGTGGTATTCAAGATGTCGTGATTGATGAGTCCATCAAGCTCAGACTTGAGTAAATTGGCCTCATTGCCGAAATCGATGGCTGATGTGCCTTTTGAAAGCAAATGACGTTGTGTAAATGTTCTGTTGGGAGATGCAGTGCCAGGTCACTGCAATTAGGCGTCAATCAATTGCAAACATGGTCAATGTAGGAGGCCAGATCGAGGATCTTTGTACAACCGTTATCAGAGACGAACGATGGTGGACACGGTGGAAAAGGATTGGTAACCAAGCGTTTGCTTAAGCCCCCTCGGCAGTTGCTTCTTCGTTGTTGTGTAACAACTAATGCAGAGGGAAGAACTCTCCTGTAAGCGGAGAATTAACATCGAGACCACTGCACTTTCAATCTAAAATTTGAATAGGTGATGCGGCCTAGAGTATTGCGACAGGCCGGTTTAGCCTTTTTGTTGTCCCAGGAGATGGGATAGGCCGATCGAATCTATACGGTGGCTCTTTGCGTAGTGAGGTGATATAATGCGTGATGCATTTAAAAATGATGGTATATGAGCTCATATCAATATACAGAGATGCATTTTGTGAATTGCTATTCACAAGGTTCAAGTGACGCCATTGCCAAGACGAAATCAACATGAAATGCACCGGGAAAAACGTCAATTTCGTCTGCTGGATGAGTACCAGTCAGCCGAAGTAAGGACTAAGATGCCATTGACACTGAACTGTACCAAACTGAGGTATTACACAAGAAAGGCTCCAAACATAGTATCTACCCATCACCACACAACATCTCCATCGCCATTCCAAACTCCACACATCGTGCTGCCAAGCCATCGATCGCCATTTACCAAAATGCACGAATTCGAGCTTGTGTCGAGCGTAGATGAAGCTCTTGTTACAACAAATTTCCATTCGTCATTTCCCGCATGAGAATTGGGGGTTGATTTGCACTGTGATTGGCGAGATGATGAAAAGCCGCCAACTCTGCCGGGCCGTGCCTGCATAATAGGTTAAAAATCTCCTGCCTCCGCAATGCCGGCCGGCTTTAGCATTAGCGCCCCATTCCCAATGCTTGCAGGAAGTGAAACTCCGGGCTGGGGAAAAAGGTGGAGGGATTGGTATCGTCTTTTTACCTCCCCCTTCTTCCAACTCCTACTTGAGAACTGTTTAGTAGGTCGTGCTCGATAGACTGGGCAAGACAAAGGTTGGGAAAGGACAATGACTCATGTGTTTCATGGAGATGTGCTTAAAGTTGGTAATATGATCCACAAGGCAAGGATTATAGTTCAGCGGGGGAAAATGTGGAGAACAGTAGTGACCTCATGAACGCCCATAGAAGGGCAAGATTAAGCGTATAGCATGAGTAGCATATATTACCATACACATACATACTACCCAGTCATCCAGGAACCATAATGAATATGTACGTTTTCTGTTTTCTAAAGAGACTCGTACTAAGCGAAAGAATTGGTTGTCATGCAAGATAGCTTTCGCCTCTGCGATAGTTTCATAAAAGAAGGAAATTTATTGATAAAATCCAGTCCCAAACCGGATACCTGATAGTCCTAACAGATCAAATTTATGCGTTCCTACTGCAAGATCCTCAGCCCAAAATGACCACTAACCTAGTTCCAGATTGATATTCCAAACTCATCATTGCAAATTGAGAATTTCGTTGAGGATTTCATATTGCGTTGAAACGCTGGTGCCTGAGTAGCAGTGAAGGGTGAAAGCCACCTAGCTGCGAGCGGGAGGAGGGGGAGGGGGAGCACCATCGACTGGTGGAGGTGGAGGAGGAGGAGTACCAGCGACTGGTGGAGGTGGAGGAGGAGCACCACCAGCTGGCGGTGGAGGAGGAGGAGTACCAGCGACTGGTGGAGGAGGAGGAGGAGCACCACCAGCTGGCGGTGGAGGAGGAGGAGGAGTACCAGCAACTGGTGGAGGAGGAGGAGTACCAGCAACTGGTGGAGGAGGAGGAGGAGCACCACCAGCTGGCGGTGGAGGAGGAGGAGGAGTACCAGCGACTGGTGGAGGTGGAGGAGGACCACCGACTACTCCTCCTCCTCGGGCGCCTCCCCTTCCTCCACGACCTCCACGACCTCCACGACCGCCACCTCGGCCACCTCGACCACCTCCTGGCGGTGGTGGAGGGCGAACATCAGTACCTGGTGGAGGTGGAGGGGGTACACCCGCGACTGGCGGTGGTGGTGGTGGAGGAGCACCAGTGTCTGGTGGTGGAGGAGGAGGAACGGTACCATCTGGTGGGGGAGGAGCATTTTGGCGCTCAACAACCAGAGGTGCAGCGAGTGCACTGTGTCTGTGTTAGCTATTGTACCAAGAGTTGGTAATCAGGAAGGTATATTGGAATGGATAGTCAAAAGAAATGGGAGTGATGTACCCAGCGGCCATAAGGATCAAAAAGGTAGACCTCATGATTGATAGTGATACAAATGATTGTTATTTGATAGTCAAAGGATTGATTGTAGAAGTGAATTGTTGTTCACTGATGGTAATGGCTATTCCAGAAGTGCTGAAGCCATGTCCCTTTATAGTTAAATTTCTCTATACTCTCCATGATCGTCCGTCATCAGTCTTCCCGTTCAGTTGCATACGTGTACCTGGATAATCGCTGCCATTAGAGCGGAGTTCCCTACCCCGCGCATCCCGTCCAAGGCTTGCGCTGTGAAGTGAATGGGTACATGGCACCTGTGACGCCTTGGCTAAAGCCAAGAAATGAGCGACTGGTGATACCCAGGTTTCGGAGATTCGTTCCCCTTGCTGGGCTGTGAGGCCAAGATTTGGGCAGCGGAACGATTACGTTGGCATATGCTGCGGCAGGTGACACGTCTTGTCACCCAGGAACTCGATTGGATGGATTCTCTTCACCACGCACGCCCTGCGGCCGGAGTTCTGCACTTGTACCAAAGAACTGGGTCGAGGGTCAGGTCTAAGTACACGGCGAAACGTATCCTACAAGCCGCCCAATAGCAATGACGGTTGTGCATTATAGAGTGAATATTCAGACTCTTTTTTTGATGTCATATCCAGCAGGGGTCGTGTCTGATTGGCTCTCGGACCATCGAGGCCCGGCTTATTCTGACTGTCAGGGTATAATCCACGTTGGCCAAGTACCCGATTAAATACGGCCAGGTTTGACCACCGGGATAGTTCGACAGGCAGGAAGTAGGACTCTTACATTTCAAGTCTTCTCAATCCTCATTCGCCAGGAATCCGTTTCTTTTTGTACTGGAAGCCCGTGTTCCAAGAAGCCTGTGTGCCGGCATCAGAAACGCAGCTATTGTGAAACCCATTTCAGGTTCAGCCTCAGACATTTGCGAGATTGTAATTTCACTAGAAGCATAGCTAAATACTAACATAGTAGGAATCTGCAGAGGGTAAGTTTGTAGTATTACAATTTAAGAGACGTAAGACAGCGGGTAAGAATGCGGCGTTGCTGTGGTCATGTCCTTGGCATGCAGCCCAAGGAATAGCGGGCATTGCCTTAATGTCAAGCAACAGGTCAAGCTTCGTCATAGGCGGAAGGATCAGCCTTGTTATTTTTGCTTCGTGCAGAGATCAACAAGTTTACACTCCCATTGTACTAGTACCAAGGCATCATCCCAAGCCGCCGAAAACTTGCACAAGGCCGAACATGTCGAGAATATACGAGGCGACATTGACGTGATGCATATACGTAGGGTAATTAAAACGGCAGAATCCGCAGAGATCCGTACTGTAGTTTGCTGACTACAAAAAGTGGCAAAATGGGCCGGATGGATGGAGCAAATGCCGAAGATTGGCAGTTTTACATGCCCACTTAATCAGGCCGAGTGTTGGAGGAATGAGCTGGGGCACTAGTTGGAGGCATTGGTTGTGTGGAGAGGAATGACGGGCAATTGTCATTGGATTAAAGAATTAGCAAGGCTACATGCGTAGATCATGGTTAGCATTGAAAACGCTTCGTGGCATGCATAGCCGCACCTTGAAAGCTTTGTACAATATGCAGATGTAGTCTCCATCAGCTCTTGATGAAGCTTGGTATTGTTAATTTTAGCACACGTCCTTAGCCACAGACGTCTGGTATAGTACGCAGATCAGTCGTCGTCTTCAATGACCAAGCCGATTTCTTCAACGTTCTTGAACTCAGCCCCTTCATTACGTGTGTCTGCATCATCATCGGCGCTATTCTTGGGTACGTTTGCATTCGGGGCCAGCTTCTTCTTTGCTTGCTCCGCACCGGTTGTACCGTCCTTGGCGTCACCATCTCCGCCTTTGCCGCCTTTCTTCGCCTTTTCTTTTCTTTGCCTTGCCTTTTCCCGTTTTAGCCTGTTCTTCTCCGTCTTTTCCTTGTCCTTCTTCTCTAACTCTTCTTTCCGCTTGGCAAACTCCTTCTCGTCTTCCTCTTTCTTCACCTCTTCGTCCATGGCGCGCAGTCTCTCATACTCGCGCCGCCGGCTCGCCTTGTAGACATGGAACTCGCCACTACCTGCACCGGCGCTTGAACCTTGAACATTTGCGACAATTTCTGGGGGCAGAGAGGAAGTCTTGGTAATTGCGCCGGAGCCTGGGATGTGGATTTCGCGGTCAGGCTTTGCGAAGAGGGCTTCGACCTGGGAGGCTTGCTCTGTACGGGGAGTGAGGGCGCGTTTCTTCACTGGGCGTTTCGAGCGCGGGTCGGCGGATGTGGGTATAGCCTCTGGGATGGGCTCGGACATGGTGTTTGCAGGTGAGGATGGATATGCCTGGCGCAGGCGGCGTTGCGTAGAAATCGGAGTACCAGAAGATACACACGTGACCGATAGCCTTACGCGACTGCAGAGGGATGACGTGCAAAGATGTGATGGGTGATTTGGGCAGAGCGCAGTGAGAACGCAGTGTCGTGGAAATATTATCAAACATTGATGCGAGTAGGGATGGCGCGCTAGGTGCCTGGCTACGGCGCGCTAGAAGTGCCACATGCGCCTGCGAAGTCGCCGCCATTCTTGGGCTTGCAGCACCACATGAAACACGCAATATCGCATATTTCTCTACCCCTCTACACAGGATCCGTTCCTGCCTGAAGCTTATACAGGCTGAACATTTCCTGCCACACGCCCATCATTCCCAGAGACTACAAGTGCTGACACCCGAACATCCCACGCCAACATGGGGAAACCCCGCGTAGGTCCACTTTACCACCACGACCGCCCTCAGCGCCTGACCCTTCCGTAGATGATCATTCTGATTCGCCATGCGCAATCAGAGGGAAACAAGAACCGTGATATTCACCAGTTCATACCCGACCACAGGGTCAAACTGACCCAGCATGGCTGGACTCAGGTACGCCGTCCTCATCGCATAATTTGAGACGCTTCACGACTGACTCTAGACCGCCATAGGCAGAAGAAGCTGGACGCCAGCTCCGCTCTATGCTCAAGCCAGACGACACCCTCCAGTTCTACACCTCGCCCTACCGCCGGACTCGTGAGACTACAGAGGGCATCCTCCGCACCTTGACCTCGGACGATCCCACCCCCTCGCCCTTCCCCCGCAACAAGATTACCGTCTTCGAGGAGCCAAGGATACGAGAACAAGATTTTGGCAACTTCCAGCCATGTTCGGCAGAAATGGAGCGCATGTGGCAGGAGAGGGCCGATTATGGCCATTTCTTCTACCGCATACCTGATGGCGAGAGCGCGGCAGATGCTTATGACCGCGTCAGTGGCTTTAACGAAAGCCTGTGGAGATCATTTGGAGACGATAACTTTCCTAGCGTGTGCGTGTTGGTCACGCATGGACTGATGTCCAGGGTGTTCCTCATGAAATGGTGAGGGCCCAACTTACGCGGTAAAAAGAAGGCAACATACTGACTTGCTTCAGGTATCACTGGTCTGTCGAGTACTTTGAGGACCTCCGGAACGTAAACCACTGCGAATTTATCATCATGAAGAGAAGCGAGAACAACGGCCGGTACATCCTCCAAAACGAGCTGCGAACATGGTCCGAACTCAAACGCCGGGCTGCCAAAGAGAAAGAGGAACAACCAAAGAGCGCCACGGCTGCCACACCAAGCAGAAACACCTCGTTGAGTAATCTCAACCAGACTGGGTCTACTTCGTCTCCCACTGTGCCCATTCGACGCTGGGGAGGATGCGTAAATGGATGCAACCATGACAAAATCAATTACCCTCGTCGTCCAATGCGAAAGAACACGATGGAGTATCTTGGGCAAGGTTCTCAGCAGACCGCTTCGCCTGCAACACAACATATGGAGCCGCTAGAAAGTGAGCAAGAAGACCACCCGGTTGCAGCCCAAGAGGCTGATCACGCTCCCATCATCAATGAGCCATCGCCAGCCAAGCTGTTGCGAAAGCAAACCGCCAAAGGTACAGCCATTCCCGCCATGCCGCCAACGCCCGCATCACCAAACGATGCCTCGAACGATGCTTCCAGTAGCGAGGAGGGGGACAACGCACCTTTGGCATTGAGGTCCAACAATCACGCACAACCGCGAACTACTGCTATTCTACGTCACCTACAGCCCATGCAGGCCGGTGAAGGCTTCTCAGACGACTCCGACTACTTTCCTGGTATGCAGCACCTCCACCACAGTACCGGGCAACGCAAATTTCTCCGCGCCAGCTCCACGCAACGCAAGCAGTCCAAAGACCGCAAAATCCAGCGCAAGCAAACTGAACAAGGCTGGCTCGAAGAATCCGGCATGGGCAAAGATGTTAAAACAGACAGACTGGGCGACGGCGACGCCACGAGCGATGACGCTGCATTCGCCAAAAAGAAAGATGAAGAGCCACCCATCTTGAGGGAAGCTCTCAAGGGAGACATGATTGTCGAACACAGTGAAGAGGAGAGAGAAGCAGCAGCAGCAGCAGCAAATGGTACGCAGCCCGATTCCGCCGACAAGAAAGTTACAGAGAAGGATATCGACAAGATGCAGGATGCAGAGAGAAAAAGTCTCGATGAAGTATATTAAGTTTAGCCGCAAGCGCCGTCCCAGCCCTCCAGACTCCTCTGTAACTTGTTTTTTTTTGGTTTTGCAACCTGGATTACGTACTTTATTCCCCTTTGCCTACATAGACCCTGATTGACTCCTGAAATGAAACAATGAAGACCAGGTGCACCAATACCAGTTTTTGAAAACCAAACTTATAGAGCCCTCCTTTTTGTACCGCTGTGTGAATTGTGATGGGTTTGCTTTGAACATTCTGCCCTGTTGTACACATTTTTTCCTTTGTTCTTACCAATCTCCGTGTATCCTGTCTGTCGAGGGTGTGATGTCCCTCGTAAAGAACACTTGTTCTTTGCTTCTTTGCTTCTTTGCTTCTTCTTTCGTTCAATTCTGATTGATATATACCTATCCTCTTCAAGCTTCCTTCTTCCTCTTGGTTTGCGACTCGGCATGTTCACGTTGACCCTGGCCGTCGTGGTGATAAGGCAGACATGCCGTTTTGGCTTGACACCTGGCGTTTGGGTAACTTGAGAAAATTGGGTCATGTAGAGATAAGAAGCAAGGAATGTGATCCAATGTTGCGGAAGCAGTAGCAGTAGCAGTAGCAAGAAGGGTATTTTCTTGGACTGCAACTGGCTCCGGTGCGTGAGCTCCCTCCAGCCCATGAAGTGCCAGAGCGAACAGACTCTGCGTTAATTGCTCCGACTCGCTTTCATGATTTACTTGCGTGTACAAGAGGAGCCTCAAGCACAGCCAAGATTCACGTTTCGCTTTCGCATGATGATCTCTATGCCACGTGGACCATATACGCCTTCATCCTTGTCCATCTCGGTCCACAAGTCTTCGAGAAAAGCCCACGTTTGTGTTACCCTTGGTTTGTTCTCTGGAGCAGTGTTCATTTGTGCTCTCATCATCTCGCGGTGTTGAGTCTTGCGGCACACCTGCAGGGGAGAGAACTTGTTAGCACGCGCACATCTATCACGTCAATAGTTTGGGAACTTACCGAACCCACGATACGCGCACCCCAGTTCATAGTTGAGTGGACGCGCGATGTGGGCGAAAATTTGGACGCAATTTCGATCATTTGGTCGAGGATATCGTCCACTGTTTGCAGAAGGGAAACAGTAGGCCGCTCAGTGCCGTGGAACATCGTGTGAAGGAAGATTAACAGGACTTGCTGTTGGATTTGACCAGCTATCCGCTCGTCGGAATCGTCCTTGGCCAATGACGAGGGACTAGGCTTCCAGGCTTTGATCAATCTTTCGAAGTGGCGCTTGTCTTCGGCTTTTCTAACAGGATCTGGCTCACACACATGTTGCCGTGCCGACTCTGCTATGGGTATGATGAGACCAAGGAGCTCATGACAGGACCCCAATAATACTCCATGTATTTCGGTACCCCAGTTGAGTGAGTTTAGCGCTTCTGGTGACAAGAAGTCGTCATATGGAATGTGGCGACTAACGGCGAAATCCGTATTGAGAGTCAGGTTTGAGTTGATGGCCAAGAAGGCATAGATTTCTGTGAGAAATTCCAGTAATGGCCCATGACTACTTTGACGAGCTCTAAGCTCGAGTAACACAGTGCGGCTAGCACGGAGGTGGTGGTAGACACTCCCATTCATTTCACTGGATAGGCTCTATTGTAATCGTTAGCGCAAGTTGTTTCTTACAAAAACGCCTCATCGGTTTAAAAAGCCGAAAGAAGGATAAACTAAAGACAGAGAGAAATTGGAGACCCACCTCAAACCAACACATAGCCAACATAACGATGAGGAGGCTAATGAGGTTCTGAGTGCTAGACTCCTTCCAGTCGAGGAGCCCATGCTTGACGCTGCGTAGTGTCACTGCGTAGTAGGATCGTGCATCATGCTCGAACCGATCACCCTTGTAGCCACGCAGATGGGCTCCACTCAATGCTAACAAACACCCGACAACTCGCGTATCCTGGTACGCCACGGGCAAAAGATAGCTTACAAAAGGGTTGATGGGTAATATGCGGCCGGCCATTTCCGTAGCCGTCACCTTGATGTAATGATCGAAAATGTGCTTTTCGCTCTCGTTTCGCAGCACAGGCATGCCATTTCCGAGGGCCGGATATACACCAGTGCAAGGCAGCGGAAGCAAATACCGCATTTGTTTTTTGTCTGGTGTAACGACTTGCTGTGTGGTCGTGCCGCTGTCGTTGCCGCCGCCGCCGCCGCCGCCACCGCGTACTCCCTTGCTCAATCCTACGACAGAACGACGATGCGGGGCCGCTTCGCGCTGCAGGCTATCTGACGTGTTTGCTGATTTGGTATTCTGAGTGGCAGATGATGGCCAGGTGCAGATGAGATGGTTGCGCTGACAGCCAAAGCACGTGGGATGCTGTTCGTCGCACTTCTTGCGGCGAGCCCGGCATGTGAGGCAACCTGTCTTGGACTTGAGGCGCAGCGATCCATAGGCCGGCGGCGGTGACATGGTTCAATTGAGAAGGACAAATGATTGCGTCGGACTATGTATCTGCGAGACGCCCACATAAAATGATGGGCCAAACGATCACTGGGCATGCAAGAGGCAAGGTCCTGGCCCCCCTGGAACCGGGCGTAGGCTTGGATTACAACACGTGACCTTATCGGGAGCGCGCTTATCTTAGCGCGTCGTGAAGCTTGGGCGGATTTCCTCAACGAGCATCTTGTGTAAGTATGTATACGAGCAGGTAGCTCTACGTGACCTACTAACGAGTCAATTCTTTACACTGTTAACGGACCGAAGACTTCTAAATATCCCCTTTCGACAGAATAAGTATCATACTCGTACTCCATGGGAATGCTGCACAACCTTGAGGCAGACCTTCCACTTCCAGACAAGCGTGTCAGTTCTAATTTCAAGATGATAACCTTCCCTATTGAGTCTCTTACTTTCCGCTCGCTGTACGATGATCCAGATCATCAATACCTACACAAAGTATAAAGAAGGCCCCCTCCACGGCCTGAATCCACATTGGTGACAAAGCCACGCTCGTCCTGACTTGTCTTCGGTTCAAAAGAAGAGCAAAAAAAAAGAACTCATTGTGACCTAACCAGGGGTCGCTATCTCAATGTTAGTAGTCTGATTCGAATAGAACCGGACTGAATGGCTCCAACTTACAACCTGGAATCTCTTGATATCGAACTCAATCGTAGTCAAGCGCCTTGCCATTAAGCCATTAGGCCATCTAATTAGATGGATGGTGAGCTCGAAAATTGAATGGTATCCATCACTCAGAATGAGAGTGAACAGAATGGAAATATGGCATAGATCATCAAGACAAGTGTGAGTGGATTTTTGAACATCGGCGGGATATGTATATAGCGTAAAAGAATTTTGCACAGGGGGTGGGGATGGGTCGGAGTGGTTCGGCGACTTGGAAGTACAGCATGATTTTGGATGACGAGTATTTGGGGAAGCGGATTTGATCAGTAAGTTAACAGCATGGCTATCATATTTCCATATACAAGAAGCGAAAAGTACCTTGTTCAATATACTGGTTATAAGCTATCGGAGCGGTATGTCTTCCACTCACGAAGCGCTTAAGCTCGCGCCGCAGGCTGCTGAAGAGTGCTTCCACCATCAGGGTAAAGTACTTGCTCATTGTAAAAGACGCCTCCAGGTCCAGAAAGCATGAGTACAGTCGCAGCCATGTCAGTGTCGACTCCCGGGCGGCCGGCAGGGTTCGACATTTCTGAATCCATGCGGCTCTTGTTGTCTTCGTCAGAAGAGCCAGTTGTCATCTGTTATAAGTTGTTAGTACACAGATCTGATTTGAATGAACCAATATGAGGAAGGAGGTGGCGTGAAAGACATGGTTTTGCTTACCTCACTAGGGAAAACACCAGGTGCAATGGTATTGACGCGGACTTTGGTACCCATGAATGTCGTTGCAAGCATTCGGCTGAGGTGTGTAGCCGCTGCCTTGCTGGAGGAATAAGCGAATTGACCATTGCTGCTACCTTTCATGTACCCCGAGATACTGCTCACGTTGATGACCTGTGAACTGTATCCGGAGGTGACGCTGCCACCCTTGGCAAGCAGGGGAAGGAAAGTCATGCTCATCCAATAGATACTTCCGACATTGGTCTTCATAGTGTCCGCCCACTGCTCGGGCTGCGACTTGAGGAAGTGGTCAGAGATGGCTTGGGCATCTTCCATGTTGGGCTGACCATTTGAGGAGAATTTTGTGTTATCGTCCCGCGCAATTCCAGCATTATTGATGAGTAGTTGGATTCCCTTGGGCTCCTTTTGGCACATTTCATCGTAGAGGCGCTTCACATCGTCCTTTTCACTGTAATAGTGTCAGCCCTTACACAGCACTTCGTTCGGTCAGATACAGAGTGCATACCTGACGTCTGCCTGAATAGGGATGATTTGTCCTGGCCCAGTATTGTACACTTCGTCCGTTTTCTTCAAGACCTCATCACGCCTTGATGTAATGTAGACCTTTGCACCATTGGCGACTAGCGCTTGTGTGATCATCAACCCGATTCCAGTTCCTCCTCCAGTAACAAGAGCGGTGACGTGTGACACATCGAAGAGCTTGGAGCCCTTCAGATCCTCGTTGCTTGCTTTTCCCATGTTTCTGACTATTTGGTAGGAGGTTTTCGGGATGAATTGCTTTGTGCGTGATAATGGTGTAATTAATCTGGTAGCTGTTGGTAAAGTTTTGGAAAAGAGTCGAAGCATTTTAAGATGTAGTTGTAATGAGTTCTGCCTTTATGTGATATTAAAGTGGGTGGACGATGTCACAGTTTGCATGCCAATATGATGACGTTGAGACGACGCATGGTCTAATGCATTAAGCACTGGCAGGACGGCAAGCCTCCATACTATGCGCTCACATGCATTCTAAATAGCACTTCTAATTGAAGCAAATCTGGGTCTATTACAGTCTACCATAGTTGTTACATCGATCAGTCAACTTGTTCCGAAATTGGGTGAGTATAGCTGGCGCTGCATCCCCGGGAATTCCTTTGATTCCAAGGATGCACACCAAATAAATAAGTTTCAATTCAGAAGTAGTTATTGTTATCATTTCTATGGAAACTGGTTACTTTGTTGCATTGACTTAATTCAAAGTCATGGTGTTGAGGACTTGAGGGTGATGACGTCACGTCTCTAGGCTACTTACACCCGGTTTATCTCCAGTTCGCGATCTTACTTCTCCACAAGAATCACATTAGAAACACACTCAATCTCACAAACTATCGTGTTGCCAGTCCTACAACATATGCGCATTACTAAAGACCCTGGGACATCACGCAATCGAGACTTTTAGTCAGCATGTCAACCTCTGATTGGACTATGGGGATTAGTAACAGCCTCGGAGATAATGCTATGGCATCATCGCCACAAAGATGCCGAATGAGGGGAAGCATGGGTGGATGAAGGGCGCGTTATCGTTTTTTATTTCTAACCACACGGATATATATAAAAGTTTTTGCTGTGTCCTACTATCCGGCTGCATATCCAAAGTACCTGCAATCGCACGCATCACTCCAACAAGCAATTACCGACCTCAACACAGCAAGACTAGATTGTGCTATCAAACATATCCCATATCGAAGAAACACCTGGTACATAATATTACGACCACAAAATGACCACCGCTGCCTCTCGCCCGACGCCTGCGCATCAACTCTCCAATCCCGCACCCACTTCAAGCGATGCAGCATCGCGGGACGTGAACTTCCAAGGCCTACCTATTCCACGAGGCCCTGTCAAAGCACAGCTTTCTTTCTACAAAGCTCCCGAAGATTGTGCGCCGCCATACAACTACGTTGAGCCTCCTCCAGGCGTCCCACAGCGGAATTGGGGAGACAATTGGGCCGAAGTTACCATAGAAGACCTGCGAGGCAAGGAACAAAACTTCACCCTCGACAACAACGCCTTCGACACATTCCAGAACATCCAGAGCGGCCTTACCAGAGAGGATTTCGAGGACGACGAGGCGATAAAAAGGGTCTACTACCACGAGGTAGAAGACCTCTTGCTGAACAACGTGCAAGGCGCACAACGGGTTCTGATCTTCGATCACACAATCCGCCGACCAAGCGGCAACCGCAACCCCGTCCAGCGCGTCCACATCGACCAAACACCTCTCTCTGCCGCCGAACGCGTCAAGCTCCATGCACCAGAAGACGCCGAGAAGTTGCTTCAGGGTCGCTACCGCATAATCAACGTGTGGCGCCCGCTCAATGGCCCAGTAATGGGTAGTCCGCTTGCAGTCGCCGACAGCCAGACTGTAAGAGACGGCGATCTCATACCGATTGAGCACCGATACCCTCATCGCAATGGTCAAACGGCGGCTGTGGCGTATAACCCGGATCAGAAGTGGTATTATTGGTCCGGAATGAAGAACGAAGATAGGCTGTTGCTCAAGTGCTTTGATAGCGATGAGGTTGTTGGTCAATGGGGTCGCGTGCCGCATACTGCTTTTGTGGATCCCAGGACGCCGGAGGGTGCTATGGGTAGGGAGAGTATTGAGATTAGGGCGCTGATTTTTGGATGAGCTTTTGTTAATGTTGCAAGATATATCTGTTCTGGAATGCTGTCTTATTTTTCTCTTTTGTTCAGGCTGTTGCTTCCAATACATTTAGCCTTGGCGTATTGCATTGAATGTTTACACTATGTTATTCTTTGAAATGGTTGGCAACTAAACAAGTGAAAATTGATCATTTTACTCTGCTATTTCTACTATCTTATCTTGGAGTCTTCATTAATTTTCCACAGATTCACCATTACGATATGATTTTTAAAGGGGCGTACTAGATAAGAGTCGTCTCACATCACGAAGAGATCCATGTCAAATCATGTAGTGGATTGTCTACAATCCAATAAAATCGTAGAGTGAATCAATGTAATATATTCCTATTACTTCCAAACTCTTTGTCTATTCCATAGATGTAATCATTAAGGCTTGGGTATCCTACATGCTAAACTTTAAGAAAGAAGCGCTACAAGTCTAACCAAAACATCAGGAGAAAAAAAATACCTCCATCTTTTCTTGAACCGTAAGGACCGTTGTCGAATTGTGCTCATTACTATTATCAAACTCTAACATTGGGGCTGGGAATTGGGACTCTTCTATTCGTACAAATCTCTATTATTGGGATCGCTCTTTGGCGGCGGAGCAGTGGGTTCGTTGGCCGCAGCATTTGCTGGCGCCTCGCTCACGTTTGCAGAGAGCGCTGGGACTGGAGTAGTGGGTAGAGGGGCTTGAGGCGGTGGGCTGGAAGGAGCGGAGGGAGGAGCATTGTGCGTAGCACCCTGTGCGTAATGAGCGGGAGGAGGATGGCCTATCGCTGACACGGGAGAATGTGAGACTAGGCTCCCGTCCTTTGAAGTGTCGTCGTAGAAGCCAGCTTGTTGGGGAGGCGGGTAGACGTAGCCTTGTGGGGGCACGAAGGCCCCGTCTGGTCCCTGGACCCAACCGGGAGGCGGAGGACCGTAGTAGTAAACTTGACCAGGAGCAGTGGGTCCTCTAGCGGCAGAGGTTTGCGAGATCTCTGGGTGCAGTGGTTGACCTGGAGGAATAATGCCTACAGTAGTCTTGCTGAACTGGCCCAGCAACTCCTCTGGATACTTGTGTCGGAACCCCCACTTCCACCACGCCTTGAAAGCCGCACCACTACCCATGTTCCTCCATTTCTCAGCAAGCAGTTTTTGGTCGTCTTTGCTGCGGCGGTCCTGCATGCGCGTGAAGCAGAGAATCCAGAGGGAGATGAAGACCCAGCATATGGTACCAAAGCGCATGGCGCTTCTGCCCATCATGAGGCGGCGAAACCAGAACCATGATTCGAGGAAGCCAAGTAGGAAAAAGGCAGGGATAATGACGGCAATTGCGATTATGTAGTTCTTGAGATATCCGCAGTAGTAACAATCGTCGTAGTAAGAGCTTGAGCCGCCGCTGCCGGAGTCGTAGCTCGAGCCAGTCGAACGAGAAGGTGGTGGAGTGCTACATGAGGCGATGTAGTATTCGTAGTAGTAGTCTGAGGATGAATGGAAAGGTGCAGCGCCGGCTGTGAGGTACCATGTCTCATACTTGTAGACGACGGAACCGTATGAGTCAGTCGTCGTGCCTGCCTCGATTGACGACGGAGATATTTGCGCTGTCACTTTCGTCGGAATGGAGACGGAGGCAGTGGTTGTTATGGTAACTATTGGTTTAGTCAGCATATGATGTTAATGCTATGAAATAGACATATTGATACATACATGGCGTAGGACACGAGGCAGGTGCAGTCATTGTGACTTGCATACTGTATCTGGTGCTTGTGCTTGTGCTTGTTGATGTTGTTGTTGCAGTCGAATCGTAGTCGCGCGTGGTTTCAGCAACGAGATCAGACTCTGCCACAACATCAGTGGTATAGTAAGCTGCCACAATCTGAATATCCGTATCGTACCAATCCCGAGAAGTAGTGACGAGATAGGGAGAAGCGGTAGGAATGACATCGTCCTTGATAGTGCGGGTTGAGGTGTAGGTGTCAGTCACCACATCATTGTCATAGTATGTATATGGACTCTCGGTGACTTGTTCTGCATAGCGAGCGGTAACAGTCCAGAAGGCTGCAGAGGAGTAACTGGAGGAGTAAATGGGATTGTAATACGGATCATCAGTCGTAGACTGTGCACTCGCAATAGCGGCGCTGGCAAAAGCCACGAAGGCGTATCGAGCAGCCATCATGGCGCAGGATATGGAGATAAACGATTGAAGGTCGCGAAACGCGAGTATTAGATATTAGAGTGTACTGTTGAGCTGTCTTCCCACCGTGAGGGCAACGGCCTCATTTTTAAGCAGAGTCAAGCACACGGCACCCTTCACGACGGCTAGTTCACCGGTCGTGCAAAGGGTTCAGTCACATCTCGTTTCCCCTAAGCGATCAAGGCAGCCTCGCACTTGTTGCAGGGTCTGCCCCCTTTCCTCCAATCATAGCGCGATCGCAATGGTGGTTGGCAAATTCTGCGGGAAGTCTAGATGTTTAGCGGAATTGTAGTGTCTATCTTTGGGTCCTTGCGCATCATGTCAGTCTAGTGGCATGCAGGGGTGGGCAGGAGGCCTGAGGAGGATAAAGGCTTGCACTGCCTGCACAGCCATTGACAGGACAACTTTGAGCTTGGTAATGCAGCAGTGCGATCTTCTCAAGGGTCTACGTTGTAGTGCATAACTTCGCCTTTCTTCTTGGCAATGACGTGGTTGGTGTTGAGTATAGTCCTACAATGTTACGGAGGGGTGTGTTGACGGGACCGCGTTATGGTGGCGTTTTTGTGAAGAGACACGCGACATTGCAACGTCTTGGCAGTACTGGAAAATTCATCTCTGGCACTTGCACCTCGGACCACAGTCTTTTAGGCCCTTTGGCCTTAGGAATCCTATGCGCTAAGCTTGTGAAAACAAGCATCTGATATTCTCTGGCCCCACGTGTTCCAAACTGAGCAAGTGGGATCTGTGGTGGTCACGTAACCGCGTGAGAACGTATCTGACCTGTTCCCGATGATAAGCGTATACATACCTACTACCTAATGGACAATACCCTGTATGGTATAATTGGTATAGACATGGAGTGATCTGGGCATCCGTGTTGGTGTTGTTCCTGGAAGAGTCACCATATGCGCGCTGACAGCATGTCTCTACCAGCGCATACATACAACAATCAGTTAATGACTCCTACTCCATATAATGCAAGGCAACCTTTCAGCTGTCGACAGTAGACTGGACCAAAATAGAGATGATATATTGAAAGAGATCGATTTCTTGCTAGTGGCATCGTAGCATATTATTCCATTGTTGTCATTTGTTTAGCATTCTACAACGGCAACTCCGAGACTAAGCGAATGCAATCCTCACCCGCAGTTTGATTCCATGTCCAGACGTAATTACGCGGAATTTTCGTCGAGAATAATATTTTCCTATCTCAAACAGCAACAACTCTACCCATAAAAAGAGAGATGATGCAAAGTAGGGGTACTCATGAAAGCACTGAAAAGTGCTCAGGTGGATTTCTGTTAACGCCGAAACAATGGCGACAAAGCGTTTATAAGGCGTCCAACATTTGTGTTGCACGCTATTCTCATCGCCGACGTAAATTGGTGTTGACACGAGGGCTACAGAAACCTTCAACCCCACCACCTTTCGCACATTCCTTCGGTGTATTGTTGTAAAGCTGAACAAAGTTTTTCTGAGGATACTGGAGCTTACAAATAAGGCAAGCAATTCTAAGAACTATGTAGTAGCCACTGTACTATGGGGCTTGCAAAATCTGTAGACCAGTCGTCGTGGTTACATTACACCTCGCTCGTTTTATCGGCTATTCCATAGTAACAGTTGCATCTCGCAAAGAAGGATTATGTTTGAAGAGAGTTGATGTTAGTATAAACATCTGATGCGCATGTGTTTAGACTTCAGCTACGATAGGTTAGCGCCACTGACCCCGCCCGCCTAATGCTACCTCGACGTGTCAAGCCTCACAGCCCCTTGCCACCTATTCTGTACCTCAACAACACTCGGAAGACTTCATGAATAGCCTCTCCAGCCAATCATGGGCTCCAAATCACCAGAAGAACATCAGCAAGGCCACAATGGTGCGTATATAACAAGTTTGGTTATTCTGATACAACATTCTGACAACCTTGCCTAGGGTCGTCCGGAGATGCTGCAATTGCAGTGGTTAACCCACCCAAGTCAGCCGTCGCGAGCGGCTTGCTTCAAGGCATGCTCGAAGGGCAGGGAGAAGACGATGACGACGATGATGATTATGAAAAGAACAGAGCTGACATGAAATCAACGGATGGTAAGCTAATTGCATTTGGCTGGAATGCAGATGCTAACCTATGTAGGCGCTAAGAAAAAGAGGAAACGCAACAACAAGAAGAAGAACAAGAAAGTACCAGCTACACAACAGTCATTCCCACCCAGAGTCCCTTTGTCGGATCTGCTCGATGGCCGCCATTACCCTGAAGGTCAGATTGTCGACTATGCCCTGAAAGATGACAACCTCCAACGTACCACGGTCGAAGAGCTTCGGCATGAAGCTGCCATGAGTAACATGGACGGAGAATTCCTCAAGGACTACCGCAAGGCTGCCGAGATACACCGTCAGGTCAGGCAATATGCACAAAAGCTGGCCAAGCCCGGTGTGTCCATGACTTACCTTGCCGAAGAGATAGACGAAAGTATCCGTGCACTGACTGGTCACCATGGTCTCGAACCTGGCGACAGTCTCAAAGCTGGGCTGGCATTTCCGACGGGACTTTGCCTGAACCATATAGGCGCACACTGGACGCCAAATGCAGGTGCCAAAGAGGTCTTCCTTCAGCATGATGATGTCCTCAAAGTTGACTTCGGAGTTCATGTCAATGGCAGGATTGTCGATAGTGCATTCACTGTAGCTGCTAACCCAGTCTACGACAACCTGCTAGCAGCCGTAAAAGCGGCCACCAACACCGGACTGAAGGTAAGCAATAATTCACTTCTCACACATATCTCGAATCCCTATCTAATATATCGATCTACAGGAAGCAGGCATTGACGCCCGAATCGACCACATCAGTGAATCCATCCAAGAAGTAATGGAGAGCTACGAAGTCGAACTCAACGGCAAAACAATCCCCATCAAAGCCGTCCGCAACATCACCGGCCACAACATCCTCCGCTACCGTATCCACGGTGACAAGCAAGTCCCCTTCATCAAGACCAAGACCAACCAACGCATGGAGGAAGGCGACATCTTCGCCATCGAAACGTTCGGTAGCACAGGAAAAGCCTATCTGCGAGACGACGTCGGCGTCTACGGCTACGGACGCAGTCAGCATGCCAACACGGCTGGCTTGCATCATGCATCAGCAAAATCGCTTCTCAAAACCATTGACGAAAACTTTGGGACTTTGGTGTTTGCACGTCGCCAGCTCGAACGTATCCCGGGGGTCAAGAGTTACCATCTTGGTATGCGGTCGCTTGTTAATAGTGGGGTTGTTGAGGCGTATGCCCCGCTTGTTGATATCCCTGGGTCGTATATTGCGCAGTTTGAACATGTGAGTTGATATCTCTGGTACATTATCCGGTAGGAAAAGATTTGCTGACGTGGTCATTTTCTCGATTTAGACGGTTCTACTGCGTCCTACGTGTAAGGAAGTTGTTTCTCGTGGAGACGACTACTGACGTGGGGTTTGGGAGAACAGGATGGGCGCAAGTCGACTTGGCTGATTGCGTTCTGTAAGAAGTTGCAGACAGCCAGTGTGAGTTAGATGTTTGCCCTCTATGCTGAGAGTAGCTCAGCGCCATTCGTTTATTGGGGTCTGCGATACCTTGGTTTCAACACAAAAAGTCACAGCAATTCGGCAGAAGGACCGTTTTCAACAACGTTCCTTGAACACTTCAAGTAGTTTGATAAAATCACACATCAAGCAGCAACATTCAATCATACCAGTGAAGATAAAAGTAGCACATATATATTACGAGCCTACACTTCAAAACTAACTAAAAGAAAACGGGTGTCAAAAAAGGGGGGAGTCGCACAAGGATTCGGCGCTGGATATCTATCTATTGCGAATTTGCGCAGCCGATCACTCACAAAGAATGAGAGGGGAAAGTAGAAAAGAAAGAAGATAAGAAAAAAAGACTCCGACATGTCCAGCTTCTCCAGCACAGACATCGAGCGACCATGCAAAAGACCCAAAAAACCCCCAACCCACTACGCTTTGTTGCTTACTCACTCACTCACTCCCTTCCATATCAAATACATTATCATATCGTACAAACGCTAACCAAAGCGTAAAAAAAAGAACAATACGTGAAAAACGTGAAAAACGTGAGAAGAAAAAAACAACTACTTGCATCACCTAATCTCGTGTATACCATCAAAATCCATACTGTCGTCTAACCGTACCTCGTGGTCTGCGTCCGGCACCAGGTCCGATGTCGATGCTCTGAAGTTCGAGACTAAGTGCCATGTCTTCGTTCTGGGAGCCATAGGCGTCGCCGCCCATGTCGAGGGGCACCTTGGCGGGAATGGGGGGTGCAGTGATACTATGGCGCTGGGTGCCATGGCGATCGTAGCCAAGGCTACCGTAGGTGTTTGGGTTCTCGCGCTCACGGAGGACTTGCCTGTCCGGCAGGTTGTACTGGCGAGGTGAGTCGTAGGAAGAAACGGGACGGGGCTGTGGGTCACGCTTCTGCAGTCTGTTGCGTCCCATTGAGCCGGTTTGTGGAGGATGCTGACTTGCGAGGACAAGTGCGCCGGCATTCACAGGCGAATTGTAGTCGTTGAAATCATGTCTTGCAGGCACAAGTGCTGTACTGTTATCAAAATTCATGCTTGCTGCGTGACGGAGGCGTTCCCTTTCAGCGCGGTCGCGTTGGTATCTCTCTTCGCGCTGCATCGCAGCATCGAGGTCACGGCTACCGTTCAGCTGCGGTCGGGTGCGAGATGGCTTTTCCTTGATAGTACCCTTGGGTACAGGTTCGGGAGCCCAGTTATCAACTGGTAGATGGTCCGAAGCATCAACAACCCGGCCACTGAAGGTGACAATTTGGCCCTTGTCGTTGTACTCCATGCGGCTACCTGGTCGCTCGGCCTCATCATCTGAAGGAATCGGCGACTTGGATAACCTAGGATTGTAGACGTCGAAGCTGTCAGGGTTGAATGCTATCCCAGACAATCTACGTTCACCAAAGTCTTCTCCAGC